AAAATATGGGTCAAGAGACCTGAAACATTTAGCCGCATATCTTGGGTGGTGTTGAGGTCCTGTTCCAGCCATTTTTGGGGATCCTTGCCCATCATGAATGTCATTAACAGCTGGTCAAATATAGGTGTAAGGGTAATTTTATCTGGGACCGTAAGCCTGGGACATTCAGCATGTAGTTTGTTCTGTGCTTCCTTCTCCAATGGACAATGGAGCCAATAACAAAGGAATTTGGCAATATGTCCGGGAGGGGTCCACTCCACCAAACGGGGGTGTTTGAGAATACATGGGTTAAACAGTGGCTGACTACTTGGATCCAAAACCTCCAGCAGGCCATGAGGGTGGGGATCACCGAGCACCCTTTCCCTCAAATAGTAAGGGACCTTCCCCAGCCAAGTAAACACAGTCAAAGTGTCTGACCACCTCACAATCGGGGTCAAGCCAAACCAATCCGGTATCGGAAGGTGGCCGGGTTACCTGAACTATAGGAGCAGAGTTTCATCAGTTTGCATGTGTCCCTTGCCATTTACAAATGAGCTTGCAACCTGCCCCCGCCTCAAGAGAGCAGAGAGGTTCATCCAAGTCACAGCCATTGTACCAGAGTGCAGGGACATACAAGATGGCCACCACACTAAACTGCAGAATGGTCCAAGGGAGCATGCAGAGGCTGTGAAGTCAGCAGAAAAGCAGGGAGAGGAAGAGATAACAGCAGTGAAAGCAAGCCACCCAGAGTGTGTGGGAGGCAGAACAGCAGTGCAATTGCGGAACCAGAGCAGCCTGCTGTGATTACGGATATGGCAGCAGAGAGAGCAGACTCCAGAAACATCCCTTAACTCAAAATTTGGAAACAATAATGCACAACCACTACACATCACATATAACAGTAATAAGCCGAATTAGAGCACCTCCAAATTACGGAAGACTCACCAGAGCAAAGAAAAAGGAAGTGTGAGGGTCTTGTTGAGGGTTTTTTATGCCCATCTATTCGTTGATTGGTTGTTTTTTTCTGCCTCTGTTAACCATTTCTTTGCAGCTGGAGGAGTTTTACCTTTCGGTGTAAAATACAAGCTTCATCATGAAATCAGATCACTGCCCATACAGTCTGCTACCATCATGACCACTTCTAAAAGCAGAAGTAGTTATGCTGGTTGGAATAACTCTTTAAAACCTGCCTAGCACTGCCTAACAAATGCTTCTCTGAGAAGCATTAACAGTGTTCATCATCATCATCATCATGCTGTATGCAGAATGTAAAGGACCTTCCATTTTTGAAGGTCTGAAAACAAAACCACTTCAGCATTGCTGGTGTGAAACAATCGATTGGACACAAGTCACTGGTCATTAAGATTTCACAGGAGAATTCTGTACTCTGTACATCAACAGTCACTATGTATATAAGTGACTGTAAGGTACTGCTCTTGTCACAAAAAGAGGTTAATAATGGTAGCCCTGATCCAGGCAAGGTACAGGGAAAAAAACATATCTGCTTATAACCATGACAGTCTTCAAGGGAATCTGTTACCTCATGTATAGGATGAATGGAGAACATACCTTCTTACTTAGTTTGGAAAACCAAAAGCCATCTTTTAAATGTGTCTCATGTGTCCCCCCCCCCCTCTACTTTAAGATTTGTCTATGATTCACTAAACCATGGGTCGTCAACCTGGTCCCTACCGCCCACTAGTGGGCGTTTTAGGATTCCAGGTGGGCGGTAGGGATTTCTGAGGCTAAATCCTCTTTTTAAGAGGATTTCTCCTTTTGGGCGGGCGCGAGCGGCTCTGCATGCGCAAGTCTTCAGTGACCGGCAGGAGGAAGCGCTCCCTCCTGCCAGGCCACCTTCTGGACCCCCCGGCATGGCAGCGTTCTAATCAGTCGCGGCGAGGGAGCTCTAACCTCTCTGCTCTGCTCCCTCGCGCGATGTTTGCTGATGCCGCGGGAGCCGGAATATGATGTCATATTCCGGCTCCCGGCATCCGTAGACAGTCCGCGAGGGAGCAGAGCAGAGAGGTTAGAGCTCCCTCGCTGCGTCTGATTAGCCGCCCGCCTAAGTGAAGCCCCACTGGACCCCAGGGACAGATCCACACCAGCTCTCCAGGTAGGGAGGCTGGGTGGATATTTAATATTAATAATTTGTGTGTATATGTGTTTGTCTCTAAGTGTATGTGTGTGTGTGTCTGTAAGTGTATGTGTGTGTGTCTGTAAGTGTATGTGTGTGTGTCTGTAAGTGTATGTGTGTGTGTGTGTCTGTAAGTATATGTGTCTGTGTCTGTAAGTGTATGTGTCTGTGTCTGTAAGTGTATGTGTGTCTGTGGGTCTGTCTGTGTATGTGTGAGTGTCTGTAAGTGCATGTGTGAGTATGTGTATATTTGTGTGTATGTGTTTCTATGTGAGTGTGTGTGTGTGTGTGTATGTGTTTGTCTGTGAGCAGAGTACTTGTAGAATAGAAGAAAGAAGGTGCAGAGTACTTGTAGAATAGAAGAAAGAAGGTGCAGAGTACTTGTAGAATAGGAGAAAGAAGGAGTAGAGTACTTGTAGAATAGGAGAAAGAAGGAGTAGAGTACTTCTAGTATAGGGGAAAGAAGGAGTAGAGTACTTCTAGTATAGAGGAAAGAAGGAGTAGAGTACTTGTAAAAAAGGAGAAGGAAAGAAAAGGAAAAGGAGAGAATTGTTGTTGACTAATAATAGTAAGTGGGCTACCTAGCTCAGCCTTCCTACTGGGCATTGCTATAAGGAAGGTTAAAAAATAGAAAAAAGGGGAAAAAGGTGGGAAGGGGAATTGAGGAGGGAGAGGAGGGGAGCTGACGCACAGATGAGAAATCATTTTATGAGCAAACAAAGAAGTCTTCCGATTATCACTGAAAGAGGAGACCTTCGTTTGTTCCTTATGAAAATCGAACCAGATATCAAATATTTAGTCTCGCAGCATCAACCTCTAGTAAAGGTAAGTTCAATTTACTTTATTGCTTCCTCATTAAACTTTATAAAGTTAAAAACATTATAAACATGCATAAAGTAGAAATAAAAAGATAAATGTACGTTCATTTATGTATTTTTTAAAACACCCTCCTTTCTAAAAAATATTCCGCGCTTGCGCGAAAACTGGTGGGCGGTAAGGAAATTTTTCCATCAAGAAAGATGCATTAGTGGGCGGTAAGTGGAAAAAGGTTGACTACCACTGCACTAAACAGTAGATTATAGTGAACTGAATGCAAAGATGTCAAGATTTTGAAAGACATCAACTCTAATTCAATGTTTTGGGAATGTACACTAGGTATACCAGTGTTTCTCTCAAGCTGCACATTTGCTTCTAGAATTCTTCACATTGTATAGATGTATTGTACACAAATACATGGCTAAATTGAGATTCCTTTATATATTCCAAGGTCCACAATAACACTTTCATTTTACCTGCATCATATAATGTTCACTTGTCTTTTCATTGCCTGGATTTCACATTTTAGAAATATTGACATGAACACATTGTATTGCTGTGTTATCGTTATGCTTATTCCATATGCAGAATTTGTTACGCTGTATTACCCCACCAAAATCTGTATTATAAACAAATAATCCTGCACTCTCTGAAATTATGCTTTCTTTGCCCGGTGCTTGTCAGCATAGCATAGAAATAGTAATAGGATAGAACTCCCAGGTCTTCATTTGAAATAAAATATAACTTATTTTCAACGTTCAGTCTGTCTCAGCAGACTTTCATCAGGATAAGATGATGAAAAGTCTGCTGAGTCAGACTGAAATGTTTATTTTTTTATTTTTGAGCAAATAAAAGTTATATGTTATTTCCAATGAAGACCTGGGAGTGCTATCCTATTACACTATATATATATATATATATATATATATATATATATATACACATATATACATATACATACACACACACACAATATATATATATTGTAGACTGGATTAGCCGTATTAGTCCAGTCTATCAGATTGATCAGTGTTGCTTCAGACCTGAGGAAGAGAGGAAAACGCTCGAAAGCTTGTCTTTGAAATAATATGTTCGTCCAATAAAAAAAGGTATCATTGTATACTGCAATACTCTGGTATTCTGGCAATATATATCTACATATTCTTAAATGTAGAACTTCCAATACCACAGGGTTCTGTGTGTCAGAAAATGCTAAATTTATCTTGCACTCCCCTGTCAGATTATAAAAAAAATAACTGAATCTCATTTAAAATTTTCTTGTTAACGCTCACAGCAGATAAAACATTTAGAAAGTCAACTCTAGCATATTCAATTTTAGTTCCTGTTGTCTAAAATAACATATATGCGTATGTATTTGGCAATAACATATATGATTAGGCTTCGAAGATACCATAATCTTACCAAGCTCATGCAGGTTTGGCCATCATGTGTGCAATAAAATTCAGATTCAACAAAAAATTATCTTCAAATGAGAGGATATATAACATAAAGGTATTGGACATAGCCATTTGGCACACATAAATGTTCTATTTGATTTGTGCTGATCATTTCTCTGTGCCATGCATTCTCTTTAACCCCTTAAGGACACATGACATGTATGACATGTCATGATTCCCTTTTATTCCAGAAGTTTGGTCCTTAAGGGGTTAAGGAGACTGTAGGGAAGGATAACATGTCCTTAATTTAACTCTTCACTGACTAAATGCGTGTCCTATGCACTGGAAATTAAGTGCTGCTTTTCACATGGGCTAAGGCCATAAAATAGGATGTGATTGCTCCAACCATTGCAGGCCCAATTTTTGGTGCCAACCCAGCAGTTAAGAACCACTAATGTAGACTATATTGCCATTTTCATGTTCTAGAACCGGATCTGCAACCTTCCAAGCATTGTGTAGGTGAACAACTGATAACTTGGTTCTCTGTGACCTTCAATATGTACTCCGACATTGTTACAGCAGAATGATAATGGCCACTATTTATCAGTATTCTACAGGTAGTAATTCCCCAATGTAAAGATGTCATAACAATATAGAGTGAACAGTAATCAACACTAGAATCCTGTTAAAACCCAAACATGTGTTGAAGCCCAGCAACCTTATGACTAGGAAGGACAACAGATTGTAAAAATTATCTTATTTTTAATTAAAAGGCTTCTGCCTCCTTTACACATTGCTTAATAAAAATAACTGTAATTTTCCAGTGTACGATGTGCCGTTGTTGATTTAGAACCAAACTTCATCTTGCTGAGCGAAAATTCCAAACAAGCAAAACCTATAAATTAAAGACGTCATGAAAACTCGTGACTGCCGTGTTGTAAAGCATACACAAATAAAATGGTAGATATTTTACAAAATGCTCTTCTAAACGCTAAACTTCATATTTCCAAGGATTGTGATCAATACTGTACATTTACAATGGATCATGTTTCAAGGTACAAACCGATTACATGTAACAATCGTCTCTTGGGACACAGCTCTTAAGTAGAAAAACAAACGCATGAAATTCACCTGTCACATCATTTAAAAATTACAAGTGATAAAAAAGTAAGACTTGTATATGGCCTGTTAAATATTTAATCAATTAACATTATCTACAGATGCACTTCCCCGCTTGCACGCAGGGTAGCCTTAGGCATGCTCAAGGGACTCCAGTAAAAATGATGCTATATACATTTCTGTACAGAAATCCAACAGAGCTTTTATTACATCTCGCAACAAAGCAGACTGCTTAAAGCAAGATACCTGAGGTTTCACAATATCTTCATCTGCCTTACATAATATACATTTGTATTTAATTTTTTTTTTTTTTTATATTTGCACTATGATTAGAAAAAAAAAAAAAAATGTAAATCATAAATATGATAGCTTTAATAAGGTGTAGAAGACACCCAATCTAAGAGTCATGGATACGTCCAGTATGTCCTCATTCTGTGATTCTGTGAACAGAGGGAAATCGTATGATGAGAACAATGATAGGTCCATGTGTCGTATAAAGGAATAAAACAAAGATCTTCAGTGTGATGAAGAATTTGCTCCATTGACTGAATACCTGCAATAAAAGAGATCAGTGATTAAAAGTGAGAGGATTCCAAGGAACTAACAGGCATGATAAGTTATGTAGTCCATGAAATGCCATATATATTACAATGTCAGGGCAGGCATGGATTTCCACTAGCAAGCATTACTGTACTTGACAATATCCGATATGCTACTTAATAAGTTCAGCTACTTTGGCCTTGCATTTGAAATTCACCTTGATTTCTAACCAATTCTCACATTAGTGAATAAACATGTTTGGATATAATATGGATATCCAGCGGTCTGTGGTTAGCCAAATACATAATTATTTAATCAGAAAATGTACATCTAGTTTATACTAGTGAATCAGAGATTTGAGGATAATATGCAAGAAATTGAGAGATTCTTCAAGTTAGGTATGTTTTGGCCTAAACTTTGAATTCCAGCAATTGTTTTATGCAGTAATGTAAGAGTTCGCTGAATTCCAGAGTTTAGATGTTTTATCTTACCTTTGGAGCCTTTGAAGGAGTTGGGATACCATTGTATCTGAAATGCCCGGGCAGGCCTCTTCAGCTAAATAAATAGCCTCTCTCAGTTCCTCTATTGACCCGACATTGCCTCCACATGCTTGACTTTTATCTTTCAACTAAAGAAAGAATAAAACATATGATGGACACTGCATACCATGTTCTTCCCTACACAATAAATAATTTAAAAAGACACAAAGCTGAGGCTGTTCTTAATTTGTAATACATTAAGACATGCACACATAGAGGTAAAAAAAAAAAAAAAAAAAAATATAAAACAAAAATAGCCTGCTATGAGGATCCTACATTTGCTTCAAACATCCAGGTCTTCCAGCATCTGTAGTAAACCCAGATGAGGAAATGCTCAGCCAATCAGCATGCTCCCATTATTTTCAAAAGACCGCTTGGAATGTGTATAAAGCTATCGTGAAGAAATCAGAACTATAAGATTTTATAATGGGCCGGATACATTTGTCCAGTAGTTACCAGACTGAATTGTGTTTTCTGGTCGACTGACAATACACTACAACTAGAGTGAAGTAAAAAATAAGGAATTGTTTCAGTGGCTTAGATAAAAATACAAATGTTGCTAATGTTACAAATATAGCCAGATCACAGTTTCATCTATAAATACAATCGTTAACAAAGTGCTTGTACTCAGAACATGTCTAATATGATCTCTCCCGTCTTAGCTTACCACAAGGCCTATTGAAACAAGGTGTTGGGGAAAAAATATCTGAAAACATTTATTTTAGCTATTTAACTATTTTGCGATGAAAGCTGGCATTTTTGTCATCCCCGTTTAGTGGTTGACAGTTTGTAATGTTGTATAGGTAAATAGACCTTGCACAGAGCCTCTACAGATCTGATCAAAACATAAAGTCTAGTGTTAGAACAATCTGGTTTTATTGAGTGAATGCATTTTATGTCACATATAAACTGTAGTAGATATGCCAGGCTTTGCACATTCTAAAATACAAAAATACATTTTAGCTTTACGATCCATTTAACATAATCAAGAATTTCAATTGCAACTGAAATGCAAACATGCAGATATTCTTCATGAAATTCAGATCAATACATGAATCTGCTTGGTTGTTAAAATAAGGTCAAAGTAACACAAATAGAAGTCCAAATAAAGTGAAGGCTACATACCTCAGCAAATAAAGGAGACATTATTGAAGACAAACACTGAGACAAAGGCCGCTTTGGAATGTCTTTAACCTTGAATGCAAAAAATACAATAATCAACATTTGTAGTTACTGAACATAAATTCCATAATGCTTTACAAATTTTAAAGAAAAAGTAGAAGGGCAGTGAAAAGATTTTAACTACTATGTGATATCATGCATCACTGAGACCAGAATTAAAACGTTGTTTTATGTATTTTTCCTACACTTGACAAAAGGCAGAGCTACCTCTGTCACTAATGAAGGCTGAGGGGGGAAAGGCTATGTATAAGGAGGCTCTTGCGTGATCCTCTGCAGACGTCAGCGGTATACTCTCACGCATTCGCTAGAATACAGCTCTGACATGGGCTCCTGGCAAATGAAGCACCAGGAGCTGAAGAAAATTCTGCAGAAGATGATAGCGGCCACGAGGGACAGCTTCAATTAAGTAAATTCCACCTTCCATGCACCCTGAGACCACTGCTCCCCAAGCGGCAATAGCATCACTGGGGGTCTTTGCAGTCGCTTTAAATGCAGTCAATCAGAAAGAGGGAAATCGATCACATAAAGGGAAATCGACCCCTTTCTCATATTCCACACAAAATACCAGAAATGTAAGTGTCAACAATAACTCTCCATTCTGCATACATGTTACAATATTAAAGGGCCAGAGATATATAAAGTGTGGCTAATAATACACACGAAACCAGGCTATAACACACCATTTCAAAAGACCATTCAAATTAAAGATATTATTTTGTCTTATCTTTTACTGGTTAGATAATTTTGCCTGCAGAAAAGACAAAATTACTAATAAAAGTGATATGTCTTAAATGGTAAAATTGTCCTACATTATTATCTGGAGAAGACAGCATTGGTACGTTACCAACTAATGGTCCGTTTTCTAAGATATATCAAAGTGAATTGATGATTTTTTTTGTAGGTAATGCTACTGAAGTGAAAACATTTCATCTACTTACAAATAAAATCTGATTTCCTTGTTGAGCTTGTTAGGTTGATATTGCCAACTTACAATAGGAATGAAAAAACTGGCAGTTTTTAAACTACATTATTCCTATTAATATTAACATTTATATAGCGTCAACACTTTACAATTATACAATGGAGTTCCTTAAAAATAAATAATTATCTAAGTAATGTTGACAAACTAAAAATATTTTTAAATCATTTGCATCATGTGCACAGTTTAGTAGGTTGTGCCCACAAGATAATTAATGTGTGTGCACTCTTTAGGTATTTTGCGGCCACAATAAAGTACTCTCATATGTACTAAATTATGCACACAAGATAACTATATAGGGGGCAGCAGAGCTGGCATTTCGTTAAGTACCCACCTCTCTGTCTGTTGCGTCGACCTACTCCAGTTCCTGGCTGGGCTCCTCCAATGAGATCATTTGAGAGGCCAATCGACTCTGCCGCCATGTTGGAGGTCAGGCAGTGGCTGGAGCAGGCTAAAGCAGCAGAGGGAGGGGTTGGTGCTTAGAGAAGTGCCAACCTTGCTTATCTGATGTGTCCAAATTAGTAGATTGTGCCCACAAAATAGCAGACACATGCACACAAGATAAGTATCTCATGGACACGCGTTAACTATCTCATGGGTACCATCTACTAAATCATGCAAATGAGATGGTGCAGCATGCCGATTTATATTTTCGTATATTTTAATCCACTGTCACCTCAAGTCAAGCTCAAACAAGATTGCACAGCGTGATGATGACAGATTGCTAAATTTGCAAACCTTGAGAAAAAAATGCAAACACATTTATTTGATCATTGTACAAACAGCTGTGGGCAACAGGAGGAGCAGGGACGGACTGATACATCGCCATTTGTATCCAAAAGTGCATTGTCAGAGAATTATTTGCTACTCTCAAGTATAAAAATGCACCAGATTTTTAAATTATTTTTTTAACCCCACCTCCCCTCTTCCTTTCTCCCCGTTGCCTCTGGTTGTTTGTATAATGATTTTTTTCCTTTCAAACTTTCTTGTGTAGAGGCTGTCTGTGTTTCTTAAAGTTAACTCGAAACTGACTTTTCAGGTATACAGCACACGTGTATTTATTATTCTATTGATCTTTCCAATTATATTTTAGTTACAGTGCTAATTTGTCCTTAATTATTTAATAAACAAAAAAGTGTTAGGTGTAGGTGGTAGATATTTCTTCTGCTCATGCACAGTAAATAAGAAATAATTTGGGGTATTTGTTAGAAAAAGTATATTCAAGTATTTTTCAAGTTCTTTGAGGTGTTGCCAATTGTCTGATGGTCCCATTAAAGTTCCGCTCAAAATCAGCAGAACTGTGATGACTGAAACCTGAGTGTGTAACATCACTAAGCACTTTCACAGATCAGATAATGGTAAATGTCAGGTCAAAATGTATCAGAAATGAGGGATTGTATCAACATTGTTAAAAGTGACTGTAATTGACGTCCATTACAGAAAGAATATAGTGTTAGAAATACAAAACAGTTTTCCTAATGCGATAGTGTACTTCAGCAATAAACCTATTTTCTGTCCCTCCAACCCCCTGGGTGTTGAAAGGGTTAAAAAACAAACCTTTAAGCATTTACCTGATTACAGCGCTGAGATCCCTCGGCACTAGCTCCGTCTTCACCTCCACCAGCAATGGGGAGAAGCTAATGGCAAGTGTCGCAGGCACATTAAGCCTTCCCCATAGGAAAGCACTGAATCAATGCTTTCCTATGGAGATTTGAAGACATTGGGCGTGCTCATGCAATGCGTGAGGACTTCCAGCATCATTTCACAGAGTTAAACTCTGTGTAAATGTAGGAAGCACCTCTGAAACTGCAATGTTTTACATGGTAGGGCTTAGGGGACAGGCACATTGCACACAGACCACTTCATTGGGATGAGGTTGTCTGAGTGCCTATAGTGTCACTTTAAAACCATTGATAAATATCAGGGTAAAAATATACTTCTGTTTTGCATTTTCCAGTATTTTCCACTGTTTGATTTTTGGTGGACAATCTCTCTCTAGAAGAACTGGTACTATGTTACTGTTATTTTACAAAATTTGTCAATTGACATCACTTTTAAGTGAAGGTTATTTTGAAATGTATGTTGGTCCATATTACTGTTAAACTGGACATGTTTTGATAAATATTCAGTTGTAGCTCTTGGGGATGTTTTGTACATTTGTAATTCAGTCATTTATGAGCTGCTCCACCTGTTTAGAAAATATTTGGATAAACAAAAACTTTTCTTTACATAAATTTACTTCTTTGGTAGAATTAAATGTCCAAATTAATTTGGCAAGGTTTATATAACTGGCATGAAACTGTACAGATACACACTCCTTCTAACCTGATAGGAGTCATCATTCATCAGCATCATTCTGGCCTATGGTACATGCACTTAAAGGACCACTATGGGCACCCAGACCACTTCAGCTCAATGAAGTGGTCTGGGTGCCAGGTCCCTCTAGTTTTAACTGCTATGTTTCACTGAGGGTTAATCTAGCCTTTAGTGGCTATCTCACTGACAGTCGTTAGAGGCGCCTCCGCGATTCTCACTGTGAAAATCACAGTGAGAAGACGCTGGATGTCCATAGGAAAGCATTGAGTAATGCTTTCCTATGGGCGGTTTGAATGCCACTGGCATTCTTTTTACATGCCACTACTGTTATTGTTATGTCCTTTCCTTTGATGGTCTTGAAATGTCTACTGTTAATCTCCATTCTGCTGTATGTTCACTAGAAGCTCAAAATCAATAAAATACAATTAAAGAATATTGGAGAGTCACAAGAGAAATTAATTAAGAAAGGCCTTTTGATTATTTGAACATCACATACAACTCCTTAATTATAAAAGTAATGACATGAAAAGAATATTCAGAGGAAATGTAAAAATATATATAGCGTTAAGCCAAGGCAACAATTTAGTAACAACAAATAAAAAAAGTCTTACTTGATTTGTCTCTAATTCTTCAAATTGAGCTTCTCCGTTTTCCATGTTCTTGAGGTCTCGTTCTTTTCTGGTAAAAATCCAGTCATCCTTCTCACTTCCTCCTGAAGCCTGGCCTTCACCGTCACTTTATTGTGAGAAACAGAGAGAAAATAAGGTTATAATAAAATAAAAAAATAATATATATATTTTCCCACATCGAATACAAATATTTAAAATTTTTACATTTATTACCTGTACAGAAAGGTACTGTCTTAGCTATTCAAAGGATCAATTTGCCTCTATACAGCGTCTCTATTCCTACAGCTAATTACGTAGATTCATAGTATCACTAAGGTCTTCATAACAGAAAGAATGTCACTGTTTGACAATAAATAAATAGTATACTGTAGATTTAGAAGGTGTGTTTAAACAGATTACCATTTATCATCTTTAAATGTCAATGAAGAGTCAGACTATCTTCAGATGCCAGTTCTGCCTAGTGATGCTTGCAGCTCAACAAAATTAAGAGGCACACTTTCAAGACATAAAAAGAATAATGAACTCACTTATATAGCGTTCAAGCCCACATGTCATGCAACATAAATGACCGGGGGGTTGGAGGGTGTAATACATTTATAAATAAATAAATGAAGAATAAGGCTCTGCTCAAACAATTCCTTATTAGCTACATTTTAAGTAGCTTCAGCAGTTAGTATATCATGCGTTTATACACTGCACAAAAATATATAAACATATGGACAACTTCTAGTGTGTGTTTCAAAATGATTTTAGTGAATGTTTGGGAATGTAATGCCCACAAGTAACCTAAAATCCATGTGGACATCCAGTCCTCCTTTTAATGTCCATTTTGTCTGGAGTACATTTTGGGATAGCTTTGGCACCCTGTGTGATACTTGAAGAAAACACAATAATGCACTTGTTCTACTTAATTATGTAATTACATAAACTATAAAGTAACTAGACAAATATAGCTCCAGCCTCTACATGCAGCAATCTAAGGAATAGTTATTTTCTGAACCCTAGATCATTAAATCATAGGATTTATCTTACATGTTAATCAGGCAATGTGATGCAATACTTACCCGTCTGAGTCGGAGCTGGATGCTTCGTGGCCCTGCTCCATTTTCCAACGCTTGTATCGGTCAATGAGCTCTGTCAAATAAGACGTTTTCTTGGCATTTCGGATAATAAATTTGTGTTTCAGAAGTTCTTTAGCTGTAGGTCTCTAAAGACATACAAAGCAAGTCAGATACAATAAGAGAGTGGGGGCACTGCCTGCATTTAAGGGACAACACAAAGAAGGCATGTGTGGCTTGAGTCAACAGCAGTGGCAAGTAACACTCCAATTTGAATAAAAAGTACCACTCAAGAATTTATAAGATGTTTGAGAAGATAGGGAGGACTGTACAACATACAAACAATTTATATTTTATATACAGACAACAAGGTTGTGTGAAAAAGATTAGTGCATGAACAAATAGTCACCAGGTTCTGCTGAAACAGGGAATAAAACATCCCTCTGGAACGGTCTGTTATATTATGGTGACTCCTGCTGTATTACACTGGCTGCGGAACGTCACAAAATGTGCTCTGTATAAGCATGTACTCGCAAACCATACAATTATGGACAATATTAAAGTGGCACTTTAAGCAACAAAGCCACCCAGCTTGCCATACATGTTATGATGCTTAGGGTCCCTCGATCTAACCCTTGTTTACATATTAAACTGTTGAAGGCTGGTTTCATTATACGATAAGGGTATTTTCAGTGTCAAAGGACCATTTTAATCTCAACGACATGCTGAACACTGCATGTAGCATCCACATTTACCTCACTGGGTTTAAAGGAACACTGTACTCACTATATATGAAATGAATACAATGTGCATGCACATGACAAAAAAAGACAATAACTGGCGCACTTACAAAACTAGGTTCTTTGTTTAAACAGGCTTCTACAAACTCCTTGAGGAATTTACTGTAGTTCCCTTCAAGCGTGGGAGGGTTATTTTTGGGAATAAGAAACAATACTTTCATAGGATGTAATTCTGAATGTGGAGGTTCTCCTTTCGCGAGTTCAATAGCCGTTATACCCAATGACCAGATGTCTGCCTGTAAGGAAATAAAATACATAACTTACAGAATACAGGTTTGCGACATATGTTTAAAGGGAGACTCTAAACACCAAAAAACCTTTAGCATAATAAAGTGGTTTTGATGTACAGATCAAGCCCATGTGGTTATTGTTCAATTCTCTGCCATTTAAAATCGAAGCACTTCTCCAACAATCAAATGCTGCTATGAGCAGCGCTTGATTGACAGACCAAGTGTGACTCAGCTCTGGAGGCAGAAGCACCTCTAGTAGCGGTCAGGAAGACCCTTCAATGTACACATTGCAGTTTCTACAAAACTGCAATGTTTTACATTGAAGGGCTAAAAGTAAAAGGGCATCGCACCCAGACCACTTGGTTAAGATGAAGTGGTGTGGGTGCCTTTAGTGTTCCTTTAACAAAGTAAAAGGGGAAAAAAAAGGTCACAAACAATGTTAGAAAAATCATGGCTTGTTCGTCTTACCTTGGAATCATACGCAGACTGCTTTATGACCTCTGGTGCCATCCAGAATGGTGTACCAACAAATGTATTTCTCTTAATTTGAGTGTCTGTTAGTTGCCCAGCTACACCGAAATCAGCAAGTTTTACTTCTCCTTGCTCGGACAACAAGACATTGGCAGCTAAATAAATAAATAAATCAGAATACCTTAATCGTCATATTTGACGGTATGATTACCACTTTAAGTTTTTGCAATGAAATTTTTTTATTTGTTTACCTTTAATATCTCTGTGGATTTTCTTTTCTGAATGCAAGTAGTCAAGTCCCTTCAGTATTTCTCTTAAGACTGTTGCAATCTGAGTTTCATCTAACTGACCAGGTTCCAGCTAAAAGATAAATAGAATCAGCAATGAGCTTGGCAAAGTAAGTTATTTAGTTCAATATAAAAACCTGTTGTATATAAGATTGTATTTCAACATGTAGTAGACTTCATAAAACCACTAGATATCATTTGAAATGGCCAAATTAAACAATTCAACGTATACAGAGCTGTACTTGATGGTAAACCACACAGGAGAGTCCAAACCAAGAAAAAAAAAAAAAAAAGGATAATATTGTAGAACTTTGTAAATTTTGTCTAGTTTGAATATTATACAATCACACCATTTCCATTTACCAAAACAGAAACTACAAAAAGGTAACACATATCACCGACAAAGCACAATACATAAGTGGCATACATCATAAAAATCTATGTGATCAAATTGTGTACATACCAGATCCAGTGCAGAGCCTCCTCCGAGATATTCCATTATGATCCATAATTTTGTGTCCTGGTAAAATTAAATAAAACCGTACATATATTAATGAACTAACCAACACTCCAATATTACAACAGAAATGCATTTTATAACATGTTTGGAAAAAAAAAATATTTGGTTATGGCTACAATAGCTTAAAAAGACACTCTAGGCATAAATTCAATTTTAATGCATTTGATAGATGTAGGTCTCATTAAAGGGACAAGATTAATGATCTCAGCCATGGAGGTCCGGGTGATATAACGTAAGTAATATCACATTTTCGATGCACAAAGAGGGGGGCTGGGGACCTCTACATTTATTCCAATACTATAGTCTTAGGAATACATGTTTGTATTCCCAACACTATAGTGTTCCTTCTTTAATATGCTGTATTCTTTGTTGTTTTTGCAAGCTCAAATCTTTATGGTTTTTGCGCAAAAACATAAATGTTTTGCAGAATGCTGTACCATAAGCCTACCTCTTTAGCCAAATCCCTAATGACAAAAAGACTTCAATATCAAGTGTGTGTGTGTGTAGTGATAGACTTAATACATGCCTCCCTGGGTGTCCTCTCTTTCTAATGAAGGTTGTTTTGTTGTTAAGATTTACGCTGCCCTTACCGTATCATCTACGAAAGCCTTCTGAATCATCTGAATAGTTTTCACGGAGGAATGTTCAAGCTTAGCACAAAATTTGATGCAGATACACATGATCACGCAATTGCGTCTAGCGCCCCCACTAACTAGTACAGTGAAGTCATCCTTGTTCACGCATGCACATTCCAGTCGTCTCTCTTGGCTGCCAGGTTACATCGATGTCACACAAACCATTCTCGAAATATTAACAATGGCTGGACCTTTTCCGGACAGACCTCATATATGTTAGAAAAACCAGCACTCAACAAAAAAAGATCAATTTGCAATATGCCTAGGTGCTCACCCCTGGACAGATGAACAAACATAATTGGCAGCATTCAAAAGACTTCCAAAAAAGAGTCTTTACTAATACAGGTTTATCAAAAACGTATAGGGTCTCAGTAATTACCTTATAGGGTCAAAATGTCAATTTTGTTGGACATGTATTGGTAGAGACTCTTTTTTTTGGAAATCATTTGAGTGTTGCCAATTATTAGGTTATATACAGACACACACACACACACAATATACAGTACTGCACTCCAGCGCTATTGACAGTTCGGCCCGGTACTCAGCAACACATTACATAATACTTCCCCAAAAAAGCCAGCATGCAAAGTCTTGCAAACAAAGTTCTTCTTTAATTCTTATATCAATCCATAATAAGTCAACAGTTTTGTACTTTCCTCATTTTCCATATTAAATTATATAGTTTTACATATCAGGACATAATCATCTGTTCCTGAGCAGGTCTTACATTTTGGTAAATACAATTTCAGATGAACAACAACACATGAGATATTACACCGTGTCATGATTTATTTAACAAAAATGAAGTCAAACTGGGGAAGCCATGTGTGAAAAACTAAGTACATCCTTACTGCTTATATAGGAATTAAGAGGCTACGTAGAAGACAGATGCTGCTAATCAAATGCCTTTCATTAATTTATAATCAGCAAGTGTGACCACCTCTATAAAAGCCAAAGTTTTAGCAGTTTGCTTGTCTGGAGCATTTAGGTGTGTGTTAACCAATGCCAAGGAGGAAATACATCAGCAATGATCTTAGAGAAGCAATTGTTGCTGCCCATTAAATTGGGAAGGTTTATAAGGCCATTTCCAAACAATTTAAAGTCAATCATTCTACAGTGAGAAATATTCAAGACTGATGCCAGCCAATCTTCCCAGGAGTGGATTTCCCCAAAAAATTCACCCAAGGTCAGACCATGCAATGTTCAGAGAAATTGCAAAAAAACCTAAAGTTACATGTTGGACTCTACAGGCCTCAGTGAGCATATTAAAGGTTAAGGTTCATGACAGTACAATTAGAACAATAAAAACAGAAAATCCAGCGCACTCCCTTATCCACTAAACAGCGACTCCGGTGCTGACAGATTTTGTTATTTTTTTTTTTTTTAAAAACACCTAATCTAGGCAAAAAATAATGGGGGTTTAGTTACATTATATGATCATACATTGCATAAGCCTGCCACAACGTCAATGTACCCCATCTTTGGCAGGTCCTACACTAACAGCCTAGTGTCTGCTTCATGAGCTACTTACTTGGGGAAAAAAATTCCATCTGGGGCTCTCTGCAGTACAAGGCTAAATAGGGTCCTGGGATGAGGCACCTGTGACAGGGAGGGGTGCAAAACCAATGAGTTGGCTAGACTCCCAAATATGTATATATGTATATGAGAAAAGGGGCTTGGCTGCACTCACCTGAACATGCATCAATAGGGTGCTGCTGGGAGTCAATTTATGCAATAAAAAAGAAAATCCAGCGCACTCCCTTATCCACTAAACAGCAACTTCGGTGCTGACCGAGTACAATTAGAACAATCCAAAAGACTTCTGGAACAATGTCCTTTGGACAGACAAGACCAAAGTGGAGATGGTTGGCCATAATGCATAGCGCTACGTTTGGCGAAAACCAAACACAGCGCATCAGCATAAACACCTCATAGCAACTGTCAAGGACAGTGGTAAAGGGGTAATGATTTGGGCTTGTTATGCAGCTACAGGACCTGGGAACCCTGCAGTCACTGAGTCTTCAATGAAGTTCTCTGTATACTAAAGTATCCTAGAGTTAAACATGAAGCTGTCAGACAACTAAAGTTTGGCTGAAATTGGGTCATGCAACAGGACAATGATCCCAAGCACACCAGCATGTCTGAAAAAGAAAAGAATCAAGGGGTTGCAAAAGCCCAGTCAAAGTTTAGACCTTAACCCAATTGAAATGCTGTGGTGGGACCTTAAAGGACCACTATAGGCACCCAGACCACTTCAGCTTAATGGTCCATCTAGGGCTAACCCTGCAGCTGTAAACATAGCTGTAAACATTGCAGTTTCAGAGAAACTGCTAAGTTTACACTAGGGTTAATCCAGCCTCTAATGGCTGTCTCATTGACAGCCGCTAGAGGGGCTTCCGCGCTTCTCACTGTGAAAATCACAGTGAGAAGACGCTGACGTCCATAGGAAAGCATTGAGAAATGCTTTCCCATGGACTGATTGAATGCATGCGTGGAGAAAGGTAAGTGATTAACCCCTTCCAGCCCCTTCAGCCCGGCGGGAGGGACGACCTAAAGACCCTATAGTGCCAGGAAAACAAGTTTGTTTTCCTGGCACTGTAGTGGTCCTTTAAGATAGATGAAGCAAAGTTGAAAAGAAGAGGGGGCCAAAATTCCTACACAACAATGTAAGAGACTGATAAAGTGATACAGAAAAAAACTATTAATAAAAGCTAAAGGTGGTTCTACAAGCTATTGAAGCATAAGAAGTACTTTATTTTTCACACGTCTTCTCCATTTTGGTTTTATTTTTGTTAAATCATTAGACTGTGTAATATGTCATGGGTTGTTGTTCATCTGAGGTTGTATTTACCTAAATTTAAGACCAGGTAAGGAACAGATGATTGTTATTATGTCCTGATATGTAAAACCACAGAATTCAAAGAGGGTGTACTTTCTTTTTCCCATGACTGAATAAAATAAATGTGGTAGAAAGGAACAAGATATATTAGGGGTTGTGGATTGTGTGACGTGGGAAATAAAATTACACATGGTTATGCACGTCAATGCTAATGTTGAGGAACTTGAATTTGGATGGAGTTTGAATACTTGACTGACTGGGCTTGGTGGGCAGAATTGCATCCTCCACTTTTAAGGTATACTCTCAGTTTGCTAATTAATTCAAATGAAAAAAACCATTGATGGGGTGATGCCATGGCACTATAGCCACTTCAATAAACTAAAGTAGTACTGGTCCCTACAGTGCCCCTTTAACAATTGCTGTTCTAATTTCTGAGAAGTAGGAACTACTGTTTTCTTTTGGGGAATGTGACATTTCGCAAAGGGTAAAACTTCAGTAAGTTCCTTCAAATTGCTAATCTAATTTGCCAACAACCCAACAGTCAAAAGAACAGGCAAATTCATCTCTATTAGGAGATGCTGATTGGCCAGGGCTGTGTTTGAAGTGTGCTGGCCCTGCCCCTGATCTGCCTACTTGACAGTCGCAGCCAATCCTATGAGAACGCATTGTTATTTGCTCACAGAATCACTTCTGATGATGTTCGGGGCAGAGACAGCAGCTGCAGACTTGAATACAAGTAAAATTTCACTATATTTAGGGAGGCAAGGGAGGACTAGATGGTGGGTTTTACACTATAGGGTCAGGAATACAGGTTTGTTTTCCTGACCTTATAATGTTTCTTTTAAGTCCTGCAATATAAAGCACTGCCAGCAATTTTTTCACCGTGGGGCTAAGCACACCTCTAGTGACGGTCTCCCTGAAAGCCACAAGTTGGTCATTCCAACTCAATGTTCCACCTCCTCACACATTGCACTTATACCCATTGTATAGCGCTACGGAGTTTTCTAGCTTATAAATAATAAAATAATAATAATAATAATAATATCAAACTATGTTGTTTGCTCTTGTGGGTAATTTACAACTACTACATTTGGACATGATCTTCTAAAGCACAAACTAGAGTAGAACTTATGTATAGGATTTACTGATAGAACAAAGTCATTTTATAAAAGAGACCCAAAACAAGACACGGAAAAGTCTGTGTGCATATTTAAACACTGACTCAGTTACTCCATGTATTTACAAAGCAGGCATAGAGCAAGGACAAATATGTAGAAGGTGGATACAGATGGATTCACATGGTACATAGTTTATCAATAAAGACCAACACACCATACATAAATATTACAGAATACAAATGCAACGACTATATATATATATATATATATATATATGCACACCAGGTCACTGAAATCCCATACATTGCGCCTATATCACATAACTCCCATATTTCTTGACCCATTTTACATTACATAAGGCCTACATAACTTACTGTACACTCAATACGCAGAAAGCTCCCATAGATCTCGCCTCATTTTTAACTTAAAACCAACTTACAGATACAACACAAAACATAAAAATAGACACTAAAGTCACCCAGACCACTTTGTCTAAATAAAGTGGTCTGGGTGAAGTGTACCGGTCCTTTTAACCCTGCAATGTAAAACATTGCATATTTTTGTTAATTTTTTTTTAAACTGCAATGTTTACATTTCAGGGTTAAATCCACCTTTAGTGGCTGTCATACTGACAATGTCCTACTGACAGCCACTAGAGGCACTTACGCTGCCCTGATCGAGTAAAACTGGGTCACATGACAAGGAAGTCCATAGGAAAGCATTGAATACTATGCTTTCCTAAGGGGAGGCTTGAATGCTGCATGTGCATCAGTCCCCAACTTCCCTATAGGGAGCATTGGGTTAGACCATAGTGGAGAAGGCCATGGCTACTCAATGATTGCGTGGGAGGTGGTGAGGCAAGTAGCGCCGGGATAAGTCAAGAACATATTTTATTTCTTTTTATGGAAAATGTGAGGGGGGGAGGAGACCTGTATTTAACAAGGACACTATAGCATTAGGAATACAAGTATGTATTTCTAACAATATAGTGTCTCTTTAAATACAAGTATAAAGCAACAGCTTGTCTTTAGTTCAAATCACATACAGGTTGCCAAATACCTAAATTCTAGTCTTATTCATCTCCTAGTAAAACTAACACAAATAGACAAATAAAGCTAATAGATTTTTTCAAGCAGTCATTTTCATTTTTTTTGACATTCTTTATTTTGTTGTGCAATGGTACAGATATAAGTATGCAGTGACTTATCGCAGAAATGTAAGCATTGTATGGGAAACAGAGTTGCTTGTCTTGGTACGTTGCACATTTTTTAAATAAAACAAAATAAAACAAGATATGACACAAGATATAGAACAGGATGTAAAACAAGATACAGGAAGTCGAGCTGAATATGCATCAAGAGTCATCCTTAAGTGAACGCTCTTAGGGTGCATGGATGGATTGCATTTCTGATCCACAAGAGTGCCCAGTATCCCCTGTTGCACCAACGTAACTGATATTCCAAGGTGGGATTAGAATGTTGCGTTAGCTCCCCAGGCCTAAATGGTCTAAGGCAGTTATTATTAGGTCCCTTCCACCCGCTACTTCACTTCTGTCTCGTTTTATGCGTTGGCTAGGGGTACAGTATGTGATATTTATATACATGTAAGGTTGCCTACTCGGGGGATAGTGCTTTTGGGCAAGGGTAGTGTTCCTAACCCGTTTCATTTCTAAACTGTCCTAGGTTGTGATTGGCCATTCGTAAAATCTCAGTATCCAGTCTGCACATCCTGTCGGCCAGGGTTTTGGGCTAAGTCTTAGCAGGCGTATGAGTGCGTGCTATTGCCTTTGCAGAGCACTGGTGTGTCCGTCTGGGTGTGCACCTGTCAGCTCAGGTCTATTCCTATCAGGATCGTACTGAGTGGGTTGCGGTCTCTCAGTGGCAAGTTGTCAGTTAATGATCCATGTGCCAGGTTGGCAGCGGTCTTAGTCTGGGTATGGTACAAAGTTGATCATCCCCGGTGGTATCGTACGTCTCGTACCTGTGGGGTGTTGGTGGATTGGGTGCTCTTGTCTGGGGGTCCTTTTCTTCCCTCCCTCGTGAGTTGGATGAGGAGGTTTTTGCGTAGTGTTGGCTACATGTATGGGTTCCCTGGGCAACATTGTGGGGCTGTCGTGTTAGCAGTTTGTATGTTTCCGACATGTCGGTTGCTCATTGGAAGGTGAAGGGTCGGGGAGGATGGGCCAGTGGTGTCGCGGTTGTGTTCGGGGGGGGGGGTCTTTGCCACTGTGTGGTTGTTCGGCCTGGGCCGTCTGTATGTGTGGTATGTTCCTCCAGAGTGGAGGAGTGTTACATCCAGAGGCCAGGAGTGATGGAAGAGCATGAGGGATCCAAGGGGGCATTGAGGTCTCCTCCGTCGTGTCGGCGGCCAGGGGAGCCAGGGCCAGGTAGGTGGGGCAGGGTGTGGGCGCTTTTCTTTTGCGGTCCTCCTGGTGAATTCTGTGTTCTGTGTGGTGACCGTCCTCTGAGGTCATGTGTTGCGCGACTCTAGTCAGGGTGGTTTCATGCGGAGTCCATCAGTCGTGGTGCGTCCCCGTCCAATGGTTGGAGGGTTTTCAGGTGGGGCCGCAGCAGGGAGTAGCGGCACAGTGTAAGCCTTGGGACTCGCTAATCTCCCCCTTACAGCTCTACAGGTGTCGGGCAGGGGAGCTGGCATCCGTAGTCCCTACGTGCAACATTGTATTTCAGTCTCCCCCCCCTCCCCCTGCTAGAACTGACATGTAGGTCAAATCCCCTGAATCCTGCCCTCCCCCTTGCATTGTGATACAAGCTTACAGAGGTTGGTGCCCGTATGCTCAATCTTCGGTGAGTGGCAATGTGATATAATTGGCGGGGTGGGCTCAGTATGTACATGGAGCCTTCTCTGCACACAGTGGACTGCGATGCATTGGTGGCCTGCTAGTGCGGGGGGGGGGAGGGAAGAGAGAGAGGAGAGAGGTAAAAAAGAAAGGAAAAAAAATGTAAAAAAAAATATAAATATGAAAAAATATATGAAAAAAAAAGTATTTGTCTCTGGAATTTTTTGTTAATGCCTGTCTTCTGTTCCCAAGGGCAGGCACTCTTCTGGTCTGTTCTTCCATGCTTGCAGTGGTAGCGTCGTGGGTATAAGTCCAAAATAAGGCGGGGGTGGGGTAGTTCGAGTCCTGTCCATAAGTCCATGTGTCTTTACCCCGTGTCTTCAGGTGTGGAAGAGGTCTGGATGTAGTCTCCGGCTTCAGGCATCTGTTACTCCTCGGGTGCAGCTTGGTGTGGTGGGGCCGTGCCCGCGTCTTGTTCGTCGGAAGGGAATGTGTGCATTACCGGCCTGCCCATGAGTCTGTCGTTAAGGGGCAGTTAGTCCAATCCCTTATTTGGATGGGTGGGAGCCCTAGTGCTTCTAGGAAGATTGATACATCCTCTGGTGTCCTGATGGTGGCTTCCATAGTGCCTTTGCGTGCTACTAGGGCGAATGGGAACTGCCAGCGGAAACGGATTTGTTGGTCTTGTAACGCAGTAGTGACTGGTCGGAGGGCCCGTCTTGTTTGTAGGGTGATGTGGGAGAGATCGTTACAGATCTCCACTCGGTGCCTTCCAATCCTACAGGTCCTCTCCGACCTAGCCGCCCTCATGATTGCTTCTTTCAATTGGAAGTCTTGAATGTGGCATATGACGTCCCTCGGGGGTGCTGATGGTGGTGGTTTGGGGCGGAGGCCACGGTGTGCTCTGTCTATATATAGCCTTGCCTCAGGGGGCCTGTTCAGGATGTAGTTGAAAATGGGGATTAGTGCGTCCTTTAGGTCTTCAGGGCTTTTGTATCACACAACAATGTTACAATGCTGCCGCCCAACGCATGCTTCCCTTATTAAGGGTTGATAAAAATACCCCTCTCTGTCTCATTAGCAATTTCTTTGCCTGAAGCTCAAAGAAGCAAGGTGAAAAATTAGTGTAGGACCCACCTGAGAGGTTTGCCTTGACGTGGCAGGTGGGCTAAACTCTCACGGCCTTTGGAGCAACTAAATAACCTACATTTGTTTAAATATGCACAGGGATTTGGGAAGAGCGGAGGTAACTTTTTTCTTAGCTTTTTGCAGCATTCTAACCACAGACTTTTTAAGGGGTTTTATTTTGGCAAATTATTGCAGTTTTAAGAAATTCAGAGAAAGGGGAATCATAGGTTATTGCCTTTGGGCCTTCCCTAAAATATCTTTACCATGGCATGGCATTCAGCTGCATTTACTACATGGTTTATGGTTTCTAATCGTCCAAATACTTGGTTTAAAACCTTAATTCCTCCAATGCATGGGTACTGGGGCATGCAATATCACACCATGAAGTGATTTATACACACAAGATGCCGATAAGTCATGTAGGGCTTAAAAGTTTAGCATTTATATTTTTCTATTAGCTCATTCCCGGACTGGTGTCTTTTTTCATAAGTACAAACGAACGTATGAGTTTCTCCTCTTTAGCCTATATTTTCGCTCTCTCTTTCTGGGATGGTAGCTATTCTACTGCATGTGTTATTAGTACAATAGTTGTATTATTGAGATGGAGGACAACATGTGTAGAACATTCTCATACTGTACTCATGAGGCACAATGCGTGGTGGACTAAAAAGGATACTTTAAACTGGGGTTGGCCATTTTCTTTTTCTTGAGCATCATACAGACACAGCATTAAACTGCATACAAATAAATAAAAATTCTACAAAATAAAAGCACATTTGAATTTCCTGCATATGCTGCACATCCCCAGGATCTGAAAACCAGGAATTTACTCCACCAATCACTTAACCTATCAGAAACCAAAAGACATGACATCATAGAAGCATTTACAAAGCAAAAAGGGAAACACAGGATGGTCTGAAAAAAAGAAATAAAAGGTTGAATCTATTACATTAAAAAAAACTCACTGATTCACAAATCTTGATATTGTATAACGGTATTACAGATGTTAATAACTGCTGGTCCTTCAATTTACAGTTATTATATATGTTTTACTCACCTTTAGATAAGAACCATAGTATTTTGTTACATATGGACTATCACACTGGCTCAATACTGTGATTTCTTGCTGAATGTCTTCAATTTCATCTTCTGCTTCTTCTAGGTCTATGATTTTTATAGCAACCACTTTCTGAGTCCTATTGTCAATCCCTTTGAAGACTTCTCCAAATGAGCCTTTGCCTATTTTCTCCAGTTTTCTGAACAGTTCATCTGGGTCTGCTTTTAGATTCTGTCCAAAAGAAGAAAAAAAAATATGTCTGAGCATAAAATGAATTGGACTATGCTTCAAGAAAACATGGCATGAAAGAAAACAAGTGCTACAGTTGATCTTTAATGGAATTGTTGAGAAATGTACAATTCAGAAGTAATACCAGTGTAACAGTACCCACAGGTTCCATTCCTCACTTCAATTGAATGAGCCTTCGTTAAACTGCATTAATGGTAAAATGGAGCAGGAACAAAATAATGGTAACTGTTAAAGTGGTATGGAACGGTTTAAAACAAACACAAAAAAACATAAAAATCAGTCCCAACCTTCAATATGAAACATTGTGCAATTTACACAAATACAAAAAATTATAATTTACAAGCAGATATTTTCTATGCTCGATTTGTAACAATTGTAGGATCTTGGAGTTTACTCATAGATCTAGCTACAGAGTAAGGCCTCTATAAAGTGGCATTCCACTGCCCAAATACAAAATAAATAATAAGATAAATCACTATTAGGTAGATATAATGTGAAAAACATGCATGCATTTAATCATGTATTTATTTATTTTTTTTAATTAGGAGTATATCTAAAACACAGTACGCAAGAGATATCTTGTCTGCAGCCTTTGCATGCCTTTCCATTCTTCCCCAGCCCAGACTTTCTATGGCTGTCCAATCACCTACTTCCTACGGCAGCTTAATGGAAAGCCTTGCAAGGTTTCCTATTAGAAGTGATCATGGTGGTAGGAATCTGTATGTGCAGCTTTTCTGCTTGAAAGGTTTCACATACAGAAAAACCTACACTTTTGTGCCGGGTGTTCGTTGCATAGTAGGCACACATGACTTAAACTCTGATCAAGGCTGTCTAATATCAATTCAGTGAAAAAATTACATGTGTTGTCAGCACTGCATGCTGGAGACAGATGTCATGAGCTTCTCTCTAATAGGCAGTAAGCCAGTAAGGGAAAGCTACAGTGTACTCTCCGTTATCTCTGATTTCAACATTTCCACTTTTTAAATTATAATTAAAGCCCTCCCCTCACCGGCCCCGAACGCATGCACTCAGACACTGAAACTGTAAAATCAAATGAGAAGTATTTAATTGGACCATGGAAGACTTGGTGTGACGAAAGACAGTGTGTGTAAATGAAACATGAAGGACCTCGCACAAAGCTGGATTCAAAGCAAGTTTTAATCTAGGTAATAGGTTTTTTAAAATTAAATAACAGTGTGGACAAGATCAATAGTGCTTAATAGTGAATGCTTCAGCAAAAAGCAAAAAAAATGATTATAAAAGGTCTATAGTAAGCTTTTAATTTATAAACGTGCCAATTACTCTTAAAATATACACGTTTTGCAAAATGGTAAAAAGAGAGGATGCACTTTTCACACAAAGCACTTCAGCTTGCTTTAAACTCTTATTGATAATTACATTAGTCATGGTTATCACAATACAATCTCTAGTGCAAGGCTTGACAAATCCCAGACGCCAGGTCGACTGGAAAATTTGCCCTGGCACCTGGGAATTGTCAGCCCTTTAGGTGAGGTGACTGCCCACCCGCGGGAGCATGGGAGCCGGACGTCCGCGGGAGCATTGTAGATGGCGAGCGAGGGAGCAGTACAATTCCTCTCTGCTCCCCCGCCTTTACAGTAGAGAGCGTGCAAGGGAGCTGAGAGGAACTGCAGAAAGATTAGAGAGCAGCCCAACAGGATCCCAGGTGAAGTATCCACTAAAGCTCTCCCAAAAGCTAGGGAGGCTGGTCGGACTCAAATAAAAATAAAAATGTCAAATTGTGAGTGTGTATGCGTCTGACTGTCAGTGTGTCAGTGTGTGTGCGCGTGTGTGTGATAGAGAGTGTGTGTCTGTCAGTTAGTATGTCTGATTAGGTACCTGCCCCCCTCCGATCAATGAGAAAGGTGCTTTTACTCACCTTTTCTCCACGCCATGACGGTTTCGTTGTGGCTGGTCCCGCATCCATGGCTGAGATCATCAGTCTTTATGACCTCATCTAAGTAAATGCTTTTCCATAGGAAAGCATTGGGAGAATATTGCACATGCTCAGCAAAACACCATGCTGTGCCAATCAGTGTGAATCAATGCATCTCTATGAGGAACATTTTGCGCCTCGATGCGGAGCGTGAATACGCTAAACGTAGGTACAGCACACTGTGTAGCACTGGCACAGGACTCTCTAGTGGCCATCACTAGAGGTGTCACTAGGCAGCAGTGTTTAAATTGCAAATCCTGCAGGGACAGGCTATACACATAAGAACAACAAGATTAAACTGTAGTGGTTCTGGTGACTATAGTGTCCCTTTAAGAATTAGATTTTTTGCATTGAAAATTTAACTTAAAAAAACTGGCTCCTAACTTTTTTAGCTGGCTCCTAGATTTCAAACAAATTTGTCAAGCCCTGCTCAAGTGACCTCATTGCCACATGCAATATCTATCCTATTGACCAATGACAGCTCAGTTAATCATACGGTAATTAAATCAATGGGATATTTAAAGTTTTACAAATCTGACTGTTAAAGGAACACTATAGCGTTAGGAATGCAATCCTGTATTCCTAATGCTATCGAGCTTTTGTTCTTAGTTAGATTCAGGGCGCCCCCAGTCTCTGGTGTAAAAGCCTGTTTTAAAAAAAAAAAAAAAAAGAGCTTTTTGCTCAGCTTCCAGATCTGAGACAAAAAAAAAATGCTTTTTTATTTTTTTTTACACTGCAGGGTTAAAATGACACGATCACATCACCCAGACTACTTCATTGAGATGAAGTGGTCTGGATGACTTTAGTGATCCTTTAAGACAGTAACAAACAGGGCTTTACTTTTATTTGAGCCTGCAGGCACCCACCTTTTTTCTTTTTACCATACATATCAAGTCTAATGAGGATCTGTCAGGCTACTGGCCCTGCCGGTAGCGATATTGTTGCTCCCTGTAAAGAGACACCTTTTTCTGTCTTTCTGGTGGTTGTGTGCTAAAGCAGTGACAAGCCTATATCAATACAGCCTTTAAATATAGTTTTCTTTGTACTGTGTGAGCGGAGTGTGTAAAAGGAAGTGGATGGAATGTGAGGTTAGATCCATGACTCCCACTAACAACTTTTATCATAACCCAAACATCAAGTTTGGGAAGGAGCAGTGACAGGCCATACGAATATAGGCCTATCGCTGTCCCTGCAACACCATCAGCAATTGGAAGGGTCTGCATCTGGTCACTCAAAACATACCTCTGTACACAAAAGAAGTTAACAGAACTGACCATAATTATGCAGGTGCTTCATCTCAGATATGTTCTAAACGGAGTCCCTAGTAGGTGAAGAAAACTAAAACCACAAATCCCTGTTATAACCTAGATAGGACAAACAACTGCCCTTATGTCCTGCCCAAATTGGCAGTATGGACCAAGTAAACCTGATACAAAAACAACTATCTTCTATATGGGATTTTTAAATCCAAATGGAGTTACGGAGTGGAGATAAAAACAAAAAACAACTAACAAAAATGTTTATTAAGTGTTCTTGCATAGCAACTCCTCCCACAGTTTTTACACTACATTAATACAGTAATATACCGAAACGTGCGGATTGTTCACAATTGGTGTGCTATTACTTTGTGGAACGTTTCGCCGAATGGTTCACGGAATATTGTCGTTCTTGTGGCGAAATTTGTCCCATAGGAATGAATGGCAAAGCTAGAGTGGGAGCTGGCAAAAGCTGAAAAATCAGGACATGATTTCTAAATTGCCACCACTCCCTCATTTTCAAGCGCACCTACACAAATCTTATATCAAAACGTTCAGCTATTCCTGCTGCCACTAAAAATGTCCACGGCTAAGCCATAGTCCTGATAGTTTTCACGATATGACCATTTGTTTGCAACTCACGCCGTCCATTGACATTCATTGAAACTCCACTCTAGCCAGCTCAAATTTGAAGGGCAATTTCTAAACTGCAACTTGCCTTCATTTTTAATATTTCAGAGACATACTACGGATCATAATGTAGGTCTGGGTCTTGTGATTCACAATATAAAGCTCTTCGCTGTAGGATTTATAGTTTTTAAAATATGACAGTTTGAAGATGGCAACCGCCAAAATACTCTGACCTGTGCCAGGCTGCAGCAGCAAGTGATGTCATAGACAGGGCCTTTTGTACACCTGCTAATGTTTTTATAAATGTATGTTTTAACCCCTTAAGACTGGAGGGCGTACAATTACGCCCTATTTTCGGCGGCTCTAAACGCCGCCGGGTGTAATTGTACGCCCTCCGGTCTTTCTTTACTTACCCGGTCGCCGGCGGTCCCACGCCAGCGATCGCGGTGGAGGGGACTGCCAGGGAGCCCCCCCACGGCAGATCCTCCTCCTCCGGTGCCCCCCGGCCATGTGAGAGTGAGGTCCTTGCGAGGACCCCACAATCACATGGCCGGTATAGCTGGCTTCTGTATTGCCAGCAGGGGGGCTGCCTGGGAGTATACACATATACACACACACACACATACACTGTCTAGGTGTATTTTACTATTAATATATATATATATATATATATATATATATATATATATATAACTAGAAAAGCTAAAAGGCCCTGTCTATGACATCACTTGCTACTCCAGCCTGGCACAGGTCAGAGTATTTTGGCGGTTGCCATCTTCAAACGGTCGTATTTTAAAAACTATAAATCCTACAGCGAAGAGCTTTATATTGTGAGAATCACAAGACCCAGACCTACATTGTGATGCATAGTATGTCTCTGAAGTATTAAAATTGAAGGCACAGTCGCAGTTTAGAAATTGCACTTCAAATTTGAGCTTTGCAGAGTGAAGTTTCAATGAAAGTCAATGGACGGCGCTAGTTGCAAACAAATGATTATATTGTGAAAACTATCAGGACTATGGCTTAGCCGTTGACATGTTTAGTGGCAGCAGGGATAGCTGAACGTTTTGATATAAGATTTGTGTAGGTGGGCCTGAAAATAAGGGAGTGGTGGCAGTTTAGAAATCATGTTCTGATTTTTCAGCTTTTGCCAGCTCCCACTCTAGCTTTGCCATTCATTCCTATGGGACAAATTCCGCCACAAGAACGACGATATTCCGTGAACCATTCAGCGAAACGTTCCACAAAGTAATAGCAATCCGATCGGGAACAATCTGCACGTTTTGGTAAAAACATTTCTATGTAGTGTAAAAACTGTGGAAGGAGTTAGGGTGGCAAATTTGGCTATAATAAGAATAAGAACTAGAAAAGCTACAATTTCTGGGGAAATTGTGTGAAGTGTTCTTGCCTCCACCAGTAGTCTACAACTGGAGTGGGCGGAGTAACTTATCATTTATATAGCACATTTAATTGCAACGTTGTTGCACAGTTACATTAAACCATACATTTATAAAAACATTAGCAGGTGTTCAAAAGGCCCTGTCTATGATATCACTTGCTGCTGCAGCCTGGCACAGGTCAGATTATTTTGGCGGTTGCCATTTTCAAACGGTTGTATTTTAAAAACTATAAATCCTACAGCGAAGAGCTTTATATTGTGAGAATCACAAGACCCAGACCTACATTTTGATGCATAGTATGTCTCTGAAGTATTAAAAATGAAGGCACAGTCCCAATCCGATCGGGAACAATCTGCACGTTTTGGTAAATTTTTGTCTATGTAGTGTAAAAACTGTGGGAGGAGTTAGGGTGGCAAATTTGGCTATAATAAGAATAATAATATATATGTGAGATAACAATAAGTGGTCTTGCTATGCAAGAACACTTAATTATGTATATATATTAATATCAAATTACACGTAGACTGATACTGATTAAATATATATATATATATATATATGTTTATATATAATATAAAAAAATTAAATATGTAAATACGTAAAAAAAATAAATAGATGTGTGTTATTTCATTGTAACTGTATTGTGATATTAATATATATACTTATATCAAAATACACGTATATACGTATATATATATATATACACACACACACACACACATTAATTCTACATATATATTTATGTAATATTTTTACATACTTAGGTATCTTAATTAATTACAATTAGCGGGACCTGCCTGACAACCCATGTCGAAAGTAAAGGGAATTTAATTTGCTAGCACTATATTTAACCCTATAACTTTCCAAAACACCATAAAACCTGTACATGGGGGGTACTGTTCTACTTGGGAGACTTTGCTGAACACAAATATTAGTGTTTTAAAACAGTAAAATGTATTACAATGATGATATCGCCAGTAAAAGTGAAGTTTTTTGCATTTTTCACGCACAAACAGCACTTACACGGACGATATTATTGCTGCGATACTTTTTACTGTTTTGACGCACAAATATTTGTGTTCAGCGAAGTCTCCCGAGTACAACAGTACCCCTCATGTACAGGTTTTATGGTTTTTTCAAAAGTTACAGCGTCAAATATAAGGCTTGCGTTTCATTTTTTTCACATTAAAATTCGCCAGATTGGTTACGTTGCCTTTGAGACCCTATGGTAGCCCAAGAATGAAAATTACCCCTATGATGGCATACCATTTGCAATAGTAGACAACCAAGGTATTGCAAACGGGGTATGTCCAGTCTTTTTTAGTAGCCACTTAGTCACAAACACTGGCCAAAATTGGCGTTTTTTGCATTTTTCACACACAAACAAATACTAACGCTAACTGTGGCCAGTGTTTGTGACCAAATGGCTACTAAAAAAGACTGGACATACCTCATTTGCAATACCTTGGGTTGTCTACTATTGCAAATGGTATACCATTATGGGTGTAAATTTCATTCCTGGGCTACTATAAAGTCCCAAAGGAAACGTAACCAATCTGGCGAATTTCAATTTCAAATGTAACGTGCGATATTTGACCCTGTAACTTCCCAAAACGCCATAAAACCTGTACATAGGGGGTACTGTTTTACATGTGAGACTTTGCTGAATACAAATATGTGTATTTTATTGCAGTAAAAGCAAACAGTATTATGACATTGACAGTTAAAATGTCATGTATTACTAAAAAAAAATTAAAAATCTTATTTTCTCCCATTTTTTTCATATTAAATTATGTTTCATAGCTAAATATTTGATATTAAATGAAAGCCCTGTTTCCCCTGAATAAAATGATATATAATAAGGGTGGGTGTAATTACTATTAAAGAGTTGAATTACGGTTGGACAGACATGTAGCGCAAATGCCAGGCTTTGTTTACATTTTGTTTCGTTCACAACGTGTACATTTGGCTCCGTCCTTAAGGGGTTAATGTAACTGTGAAGCACTTTGGGCAACAACGTTGCAATTAAATGTGCTATATAAATAAATAATAAGTTACTCGGCCCACTCCAGTTGTAGACTACTGGTGGAGGAAAGAACACTTCACACAATTTCCCCAGAAATTGTAGCTTTTCTAGTTAAGTGTTCTTGCATAGCAAGACCACTTAACGTTATCTCACATATATATTATTCTTATTATAGCCAAATGTACCACTCTAACTCCTCCCACAGTTTTTACACAACCGCCAAAATACTCTGACCTGTGCCAGGCTTGAGCAGCAAGTTATGTCATAGACAGGGCCTTTTGTCCACCTGCTAATGTTTTTATAAATGTATGTTTTAATGTAACTGTGAAGCACTTTGGGCAAAAACGTTGCAATTAACCCCTTAAGGACTGGACTGTTTTTGTGATGTTGTACATTTGCGACCAGGCATATTTTTACACTTTTGTGGTGTTTGTGTTTAGCTGTAATTTTCCGCTCTCTCATTTACTGTTCCCATACAAATTATTTTTAGTTTTTTTCAGGACAAAGGGGTCTTTCTTTACATACCATTATTTATATAATCTCATGTATTTTAATTTAAAAAAAATAAAAAAATATGATGAAAAATTTAAAAAAATACATGTTTTTTTACTTTTACTTGAAAAATCTTTTACTCATCTACAAAAGCAAATGAAAAAAACTGCTAAATAGATTCAAAATTTTGTCCTGAGTTTAAAAATACCCATGTCTCTGAGGAAGTGGGGCTGACACCCACGAAACTCGTTAGACCGGCAGTGATAGTGAGCAGGTTACGAGGAGCAGCCAGACGCCAGCAGAAGGGATTCTTCTCTTTCCCCACACGGCACTTTTGACCTGGGGATTAACGGACTGCCAGCATCGGAGTATCAGAGTGAGGTTTGGCACGCATGCAAACCTCCCCAGCAGCCGGCAAGTAAAATCATTCCGTTTTGTTACAAAAGTATCCACTGTAATACTCATCAACTACAGTGTGCAGAAAGTTATATGTCTAATATCTGCATTGGCTGATGACTTGCTGACCGTCCCTGGCTCCTATTTTTTGTATTTTTTTCCATTTTGAATTATTCATTTATTATTTTTGTATTGTGAATAAACTTTTACATTATTTTTTAACAAACTCATCTTTTAAAAGTGGTTTTTTGGAATTTCTTTTATATATATTTTTTATATTTTAAGTGACTGTATTTTTATATTAAGCACAGAGGTTATGAATTTTTTTACATTTCTCCACTGAAAATTTAACTGTGTTTTTGCACCATTCAGTATGCTTACAGATTACTTAAAGTGAAACACACATTATATATAACAGTGTATATATTAATATTATACAGATAACCAGTTCTGTTTAGGTTATTCTGTATCAAGTAACTGCTTTATATTAAGCAGATTATTTGGCGTGTAACCAAAAGAATCTGCGTATAGCAGATTTAAAGGTATACACACCATACATCCTAGTGAAACCATCATCCAGTGTTTTAGATATTAATTTTATTACTATATCCAACTGTACCAATTAAGCCATACATAAGTGAATTTGCTCCTGAACGCACTACCCCGAAGGTATTACGGTCCTTTTTATCTCCAGACAGGTTTTGGGTGTATCCCTGTCCCAGTTCAGTTTTGAGCTATTCACTCCAAGTCGGACTCCCTCATCTTTCTGTGTTGCACTAGGCAGACCAGTTCTTATTTATTTAAAAATACCCAGTGTTTACGTGCTTTTTTGCATGTTATATAGGGCTATAGGTACAAGAAGGATATTGCAGTTTCAAAACATACATTTTTAGAATTTATCAATAGTGACATTGTAACACTATTATCTGTCATAAATCTCTGAATAACACCCCACATGTACATATTTTTTTAAAGTAGACAACCCAGGGTATTCAATATGGGGTATGTCCAGTCTTTTTAGTAGCCACTTAGTCGAAAACACTGGCCAAAGTAAGCATTCATATTTGTTTGTGTGTGAAAAAAGTAAAAAAACTAAATTGAACGCTAATTTTGGCCAGTGTTTGTGACCAAGTGGTTACTAAAAAAGACTGGACATACCCCATTTGCAATACCTTGGGTTGTCTTCTTTTGCAAATAGTATGCCATCATGGGGGTAATTCTCATTCCTGGGCTACCATACGCTCTCAAAGGCAACGTAACCAACCTGGCCATTTTCAATGTAAAAATATTTGACCCATATATTTGACCCTGTAACTTTCAAAAATGCTATAAAACCTGTACATGGGGGCTACTGTTTACTCGGGAGACATCGCTGAACACAAACATTAGTGTTTAAAAACTGGAAAACGTATCACAACAATTATATCATCAGTAAAAGTGCTGTTTGTGGTGAAAAATGCAAAAAAGTCACTTTCACTGACAATATCATCGCTGTGATATGTTTTACTGTTTTGAATCACTAATATTTGTGTTCAGCGAAGTCTCCCGAGTAAAACAGTACCCCCCATGTACAGGTTTTAGGGTGTCGTAGAACGTTACAGGGTAAAATACAGTGCTAGCAAATTAAATTCTCTGGACTGTCGGCCTGGGTTGGCATGCAGGTCCCTCAAATTGCAATCAATAAAATTACTTAATTAATTATGTAAAAATATTACATAAATAGGCACGTAGAATTAGAATTAGTAGCATATTTATATATTTGAAGTCTACGTGTATATTTATATAATTATTTATGTAATTTTGTATATGGACATATGTATTATTTTTATTTATTTATATATACATAGATATATATACAAATTCATTCTAAGTGTGTTTTGATATAAATATATACATTTTAAAATACAGTTAGAATAAAATTTCATATAGATATAATTTTTTTTCTATTTTTATTATTTAAAAAAAATAATTTAATTTAAATTACTTATTTATATTTTATAATAATATATATATATATATATATATATACACACACACACACACTATATATAGTTATTATATATGTTATATATATATACACGTGTGTAATTTAATTATAAGTGTATTTTTATATTAATATAAGTACATATTAATATAAAAATACACTTAGTATGACATTATATGTGATATATAGACATATATATATATATATATATAATTATATATGGACACATATATAATTTATTTTTATTAACATTAACTTCATTTTTATTTATTTTATTTTACACTAGCAGGGAGACACATCGTCACCTATTGTGACCATGTGATCGCTGTGTTGAGCGATCACATGGCCACAGGGGTCCTAATCTGCCATGGTGAGACTGTCTGGGCTGCAGGCAGTCTCCCCACAACAGGAGCAACGCTGATAGCCGCCGGGGGAACGACGGCGATCAGGTAAGTAACTAGGACCGTTAGGACGGTTCAGGACCGTCAGCGGTCGGCAATGGGAAAATGCCGATGACGGTCCTGAACCGTCCTCGGTCCTTAAGGGGTTAAATGTGCTGTATAAATAAATAAAAGTTGAAATGCATTTCTCACTCTATCAAGCTTGCCATGTGCACTTTTTAAATTTGATCAATCAATTGGTTAGTGTGATGTTTACTATCTTTACTCACTCCAAACACTCCATACAGTTACTCTGCCCATTCCAACCTTTACACACAGTTACTCCAGCCACTCCGACCACACAGCAGTTACTCAAGCCACTCCGACCACACAACAGTTACTCAAGCCACTCCGACCACACAACAGTTACTCAAGCCACTCCACTCAGTTACTCCGCCCACTCCAGTTGTAGACTACTGGTGGAGGCAAGAACAGCTTTTCTAGTTACCACCTATTATTTTCAGTTCAAAGCAGTTCTGTCACCTTTTGGGGTCTTTGCACGTGTGAATGAGTTACTACAAGTTATACTAACCTGATGGTGTTCCCATTGGTAATTATATAACATGTAATGTTAAAGAAAAATGTAAAAATAAAAATGTTGAAAACCCTTTTTCTTCCAAGCGTATTTTTTTTTTTTAATTAATGTGATTAAAATAGACCATTTTTATGATGGGGCAAAAATATTGTAAATATTCATGTACATGTAATTGCTTAATTAAAAGAGGAAGTATTAAAAAAAAAAAAAAAACAAGAAAATAAAATGACAGATAAACAACATTTAAAATAGATGTGTCAACTTCACCAACTCAGAGCTGGTGAACAACTACGTAAGCCTTCTATTCAAACAATACAATCATTCAAGGTAACATTTGTAATGCAGCAGTTTCCAACTCCAATTACATTTACAAACCTTGTAAGCAAAACAAAAATGAAATACGTGGATATTCAAATCAATAATCTAATTAACAACGCACATATTCTACAATGTGGATTGTTAGGTCAGTTGAAGGATTTAAGGAACTAGAAAAGCTACAATTTCTGGGGAAATTGTGTGAAGTGTTCTTGCCTCCACCAGTAGTCTACAACTGGAGTGGGCAGAGCAACTGTTATTAGTTATTTATATAGCACATTTAATTGCAACGTTGTTACCCAAAGTGCTTCACAGTTACATTAAAACATACATTTATAAAAACATTAGCAGGTGTACAAAAGGCCCTGTCTATGACATAACTTGCTGCTCCAGCCTGGCACAGGTCAGAGTATTTTGGCGGCTGCCATTTTCAAACGGTCGTATTTTAGAAACTATAAATCCTACAGCGAAAAGCTTTATATTGTGAGAATCACAAGACCCAGACCTACATTATGATGCATGTGTGTCTCTGAAGGCACAGTCGCAGTTTAGAAATTGCCCTTCAAATTTTAGCTGGCTAGAGTGGAGTTTCAATGAAAGTCAATGGACAGCGTGAGTTGCAAACAAATGGTCATATCGTGAAAACTATCAGGGCTACGGCTTAGCCGTGGACATTTTTAGTGACAGCAGGAATAGCTGAACGTTTTGATATAAGATTTGTGTAGGTGGGCTTGAAAATGAGGGAGTGGTGGCAGTTTAGAAATCATGTCCTGATTTTACTGCTTTTGCCAGCTCCCACTCTAGTTTTGAACATTTTGCCATTCATTCCTATGGGGCCAATTTCGCCACAAGAACGACGATATTCCGTGAACCATTTGGCGAAACGTTCCACAAAGTAATAGCACACCAATCGGGAACAATCCGCACGTTTCGGTATATTACTGTATTAATGTAGTGTAAAAACTGTGGGAAGAGTTAGGGTGATAAATTTGGCTATAATAAGAATAAGAATAACTAGAAAAGCTACAATTTCTGGGGAAATTGTGTGAAGTGTTCTTGCCTCCAACTGGAGTGGGCGGAGTAACTGTTACTTATAGAGCACATTTAATTGCAACATTTATAAAAACATTAGCAGGTGTACAAAAGGCCCTGTCTATGACATCACTTGTTGCTCCAGCCTGGCACAGGTCAAAGTATTTTGGCGGTTGCCATCTTCAAACGGTCATATTTTAAAAACTATAAATCCTACAATGAAGAGCTTTATATTGTGCGAATCACAAGACCCGGAACTACAGGTTAGTTAGGGTGGTAAATTTGGCTATAATAAGAAAAATAATAATATATATGTGAGATAACATTAAGTGGTCTTGCTATGCAAGAACACTTAACTATGTTTACTTTAAAATGCATACTATATTATAACCTCCTCAATTCCAGACCCAGCCAGCAAGGGTTCCAAGTCACTGGCATCCAGCTATGTATAATACACTACAATTCATTGGAGGTAGAAAACAAAATTTGGAAGGGCACTACATAGGAACTCCACAAACTAATCACTTACACATCGATAGTCATTCTTCAATTGATTTTTATGTTTGGGGTTTAAAACTGAGTTTTCTTAGTGTCAGTATGGTGTGCAATCATGTTTTTGTGTTTCAGGACTATGGTATGTGTTGACCAGGTATGACATAGGCTGCTACGTAGTATCCTGCTCGACTGTCCCATGGCGTGGGTGTCTGCATGTTGTGTAAAGTTAAGGTAAATAACGCCATTGGGACTGCACAATGCTCACCTCTATTCATATTCTGGCATGTAAAGATATATAAGGCATGAGAATATATGCTACAATAAACCGCTAGTCACTGATTAAGCTTGCTGAGTATCTACTAGCAGGTAGAGTGGCGCAACGCAAGGTATGGTATGTTGGTCACAGTTCAGCAGGGACACATGTTGCGAGGTAGGTGTCTGGGCTGTAGGTTGTTGTCAGCTGTAATAACGTCCCTGAGGATGCCTAACGTATAGGCTTGAGCCCAGCACAGTAAGCCGTTTAATTCATCCCCTTCAGCCTATGCCCACCGGGTGCACAGACCTGTCCATCTTGGGGGTGACCTGCCCGGGGGCGTCGTTGGCCCGATGTCGGGGCTGAGTGTGGAGCTTCGTGTGTGCCTGGTCAAGAGGCCTCCATGGTGCCCCTAGAGGTAAGTCCTTTTGCAGGTGTGAGGCATGGGAGTGTGGGTGACCCCTCTTGAGCTGTGGAGCCGATCGCTCCCAGTTTCCAGCTGGGTCCAGTCTTCGAGAGCGGTGTTGCTGGGGAGATTCCTGCTTTTGCTGTGAGGCTGGCACTCGGAGAGGTGTTCTGGAGTGTCGTCGGGGTCGGGCTCCGGTTAGTCGGGGGCTTCTCTGGGCTTGTGGGCGTCGGGCTGACTTCCGCGTGGAGCAGGCCTTGCGCCTGTATAGCAGTACCGCAGCTTTCTTTGCCGGTTGTTCGTGTTTCGCATGAGTGGGTAGCCGGAGTTTCAGGCGGAGCCAGAATGCTTGCCAGAACATTTCAAAGGAGGCCTCGATGGGCTCAATCTCCCGATCACTCCTTAGATTTGTATGTGCTCGTGAGGGGTGCTTGTTATCCGCCATCTTTGGGGGCCATGTGGCTCCAGGGTTTTTGCTCCGACTTGTTGGCCCTGCTGGGGTGAGGTTGCACCCTGTAGGGACCGGGATATCCCCCGCCGGTCCAAGGGGGGGAGGGGGTGGAGACAGGGCTGTGCAGATTCCTGTGGCCGTTTGGACCCCAGGGTTGGGAGATCGGCTGCCTTCCCCAACACCCAGGTCGTCGACCGTAATAGGCCGCAAGCTGTAGCGCTGTGTGATGCCATCGGGTCACCCAGATTCAAGCTTAGGGAGTAGTCAAGGGTGTTTAGGGTGACCTTCTGGTTACCTAGGGTTGATTTTCTCTAGGTTTGCCTTAGTTTTTCAGGCAGTTTAGTTTAGTGTAGCAGGAGCTTGTGACAAACGCGTCTAGCCATCTTGGCTGTCAGGCCCCGCCCCCTAAAACTGAGTTTTCTGAGAGATTAAAAATAGAATAATTACAATGAATAGCTGCTATTAAATGAGTAGAAATTTTACAATTTGATGTATATAAATACTGCAACAAAATAAGAAGGAATCTGCAATTGCTAATATATTCATATGACATATGCACCATTTGAAAATGGGTAACTGGAGATTTCAGCTATTATTGAAGCTCAACTATTTTAGATTGCCTTGTCAATCCTAGAAAATGTCCTGGATTAATTAATAACTTCACAGTGCAAGATCATCCCACATGATGCCTATTCATTATCATCGGGTACCTAATGGAATCAGTGGCATCTTATGCTAATTAGGTGTATAACTTTACAATGGAGATCTCTAGTCTACAGATCAGATTACACTCAACTAAAGCAGTTTTCAAAGGATGAAACCCTTAATATATTTTCAGTGCTGCTTTTATACAGATAAGCTTTTTGAGTACTTAAGGGACCCTCACAAGGATGCTGATAGTATGTGCACACCTCAATGTGAGAACCAGTTCAGAAACATTTTAAGAAAGAAAAGCACACAAAAGTAATATCAGTTGTCAAAGCATAGTCACACAATCTATGTACATCATTTCTAAAGGTAATACGATCTGCATCATTCTGAGACCTTGTAAATGATGGCGATTTTTTTTAACTTATGAACCAGAGAGCACTTTGTAAAATTTCTTCCCAAAGGGTTTCATCTGTGATTACTAAACCTCCATGGCTCTACTTCCACTTGCAGGTTATCAGACTATATATCCAATAGAAAAGTTAATAAAATTCACCACTAATCAGTCTAGACAGTTGCCCCCAACGAATGTGCTATGTAGCACCGAAAAATGCATTGAGCAGTTCTCTGTTTATTTAAAGGGACACTATAGTCACCCAGACCACTTCAGCTCAATGAAGTGGTCTGGGTGCCAGGTCCCTCAGGTTTTAACTTCACATGTAAACATAACAGTTTCAGAGAAACTGCTATGTTTACATTTGGGGTTAATCCAGCCTCTAGTGGCTGTCTTCCGGACAGCCACTAGAGGCGCATCTGTGACGCTGGAGGCAAATTTCGCCTCAGTTGCGCAGAGCGTCCATAGGAAAGCATTGAGAAATGCTTTCCTATGGACACTTTGAATGCGCGGACGGCACTTGCCGCGCATGCGCATTCGGCTCCAGTGACGCCGGACGTGGAGGAGAGGTCACCAGCGCCCATGGAGCGCTGGATTAAGGTAAGTGGCTGAAGGGGTTTTTACCCCTTCAGTGCCATGGGAGGGGAACCCTGAGGGTGGGGGCACCATCGGGGCACTATAGTGTCAGGAAAACCGCTTTGTTTTCCTGACACTATAGTAATCCTTTAACAAAATAAAAAAATAAATAAAAAAAATTCCACTTTATGTACATTGTTGTTACTGGGTGTATGATGCCAGTTTGAGTTGTAAAGAGGGGAGATGAGATGGCCTTTGGTACTGGGAGGCTGCCATACCACTGTGAGCCAACTGAGGTAATAGGACTTGTATTGTTGCAAATTTTTTACCCAATTATAGTTGTTATAGTTTTACCCCGTAGCTGTTCTAGTATTAGGACGCAATGTTTTATTACTTCGGAGGATCTCTATACATAGAATATCTATTCATAATACTAGACCACAAAACCTGAATCTCCCTTGTCCAGGCAGCAGCAAAAACAATTAATGCAATTAATGTATGACTGATTATGATGTAATATTAGAGCTGCCTGTAGCAAATTATCCACAATTTATAGTTATAACTCATGTTTCTCTCAATACATTGTATCTATGCGGATAGCTCTAACTGCTTAACTAACTAGTCTTATTCTTTACCAAGAAGAGGATCCCATGTTTGGTTATTTCTTCTTTATTTTTTTTAGATCAGACTAAATATTCCTGCCTGATACTGTAGTTATTTCCAGATTATTTTGTTTTTGTATGTGTGTATCCTGTTGCCATCTCTGAGTGTTCGAGTATTCCACTATAGGACTGACATGAATGATTCAGGCCTCTGCTTATACCTGTCATATCTCTATGAGCTCCGTCTCACATTTTTTTATCTGACCTCTATGTCCTGAATTATATAGAACAAAGCTGATAGAAAAGACAATAGATACTGCAAGTGGCCAATCAAACCAGGGAAGCAACCCTTTTGAGAGATCAGTCAGTGGCCCCATATTATTGCACCTATAATACGGCTCCTTACTTGTTCCTGAACTTGCTTAGGATCTTAGACTGACACAAACAACAGGGATCGACCGATTATCAGTTTTGCCGATATTATCGGCCGATATTCAGATTTTTTGTAAGTATCTGCCGATAATCACCCGTAATACCGATAATGAGGTGGGCCTGCGCGTCCATAAGGCGGCATAAGCGAAGTGACCGGCAGGAGGTGGGCGCACAGCGCTCCCTCCTGCCAGGAACTCTGTGTTGCGTGGCGGAGCAGTGCGCACCGCGGTACAGGAACTTATGTTTCCTGTACCCGGCCGGACTGAAAGGAAGACAAGACAGGTGGAAGTTACACTTTGGGAGAGGGGAGGGAGAGGAAAAAAAGCTATGGAACAGGGGTGGGGGAAGGAAGAACGCTATGGGATAGGGGAGGGGGGGAACGAAAGAACGCTATGGGACAGGAGGGGGACGAAAGAACGGGGACAGGGCACGGGGGCAGGAAAGAACACTATGGGACAGGGGAGGGGAGCAGGAAAGAACACTATGGGACGGGTGGGGAACAGGAAAGAACACTATTGGACGGGGGAGGCAGGAAAGAACACTATGGGACAGGGGAGGGGAGGGGGAAGGAAAGAACACTATGGGACAGGGGAGAGGTTGGGAAGAAAGAACACTATGAGGCAGGGGAGGGGAAGAACACTATGGGACAGGGGGGAAGAACGAGGAACATTAAAGGAGGGCACTAAGGTACAGGGAAGGGAAAAGGAACATGGGTTGGGGGGCACTAGAAGATAAGGGAGAGGAACATAGAGAATGGAGTTCCTATCGCACATATTTACACACAAACACACACTGTATTTACTAATCAAATACTCTCACTGCATCCACTACACGCACATATAAATATTCTTGAAAACATAAAAAAGATCTGACCGGCATGTATATTTAGTGCATTTACCACGTAATAAAAAAATAAAAAAAATATTTGAAATAGCGAACCATTAGTTTTGTTTTTAGCTGTTTCAGAACCACATCATCTCAGTAAGGTCACCATCATTCTTCTGCTTACAGTACAGTGACGTTTGGTTTGGACTAGTAAACCTTTTATAGATGTTTTGTTCCTCTAAAAATGAATCTGAAAGTCCAGTTTTCTTTTTGTAAATATGATTTTTATTGTCGTTAGTGCAGGTGAAGTCAGGCATTTCGACATTGTCGTCAACAGGAGGACTCGCAGGTCCCTTGCATGTTTTCGCATAACAATGGTTTCAATATGGCATCGTATTTGTGTAGGCGTGCAGGTCTCATTATCTGTGGTTTGCTATTTCGGCTCGCAGGTCTCATTATCTGTGGTTTGCTATTTCGGCTCGCAGGCCTCATATTCCCCTCTACATTTTAGTCATCACCTTAGGTCCCCATGTTTTGGAGGTATCCCCGGGATCTAAGGGTTGGCATTTATCTCTCTGATAGACCTGTTGTGTATTTATGCTGTGTGTCACTCTTTCCTGTCTTTTCCAGGTATCTCAGCGTTGTCAATGTTTCCGCTATAGAAACATAGAATGTGACGGCAGATAAGAACCATTCGGCCCATCTAGTCTGCCCAGTTTTCTAAATACTTTCATTAGTCCCTAGCCTTATCTTATAGTTAGGATAGCCTTATGCCTATCCCACGCATGCTTAAACTCCTTTACTGTTAACCTCTACCACTTCAGCTGGAAGGCTATTCCATGCATCCACTACCCTCTCAGTAAAGTAATACTTCCTGATATTATTTTTAAACCTTTGTCCCTCTAATTTAAGACTATGTCCTCTTGTTGTGGTAGTTTTTTCTCTATAGTAGTCGTGTGGTTGCCCTTCCCAGTCCCAGGCCCTAGTTGTGTTTGGGGTCACTTTGCAATTTCTATCTGGGGGTTCTAGTCGTCTGGACCTAGGTGTCATGTTGCCCTGCTCTGTCTCCTACGCATAATTTTTTCTTTTGTAAACGTGCATGTAGTTATGGTCTCGTGGTTTGATTGTTCTATTACGTTTCCAAGCTTCTCTGTCCACTTATCCCTGTCTCCTTATGTTCTAAGTGTTTGTCTATTGGTGCCTCACTCTGGTTTATGTTGTCTAAGTGTCTACCTTCCTGCAGGGTAGAGTTTGGTTTTGTTTAGCTTAATCAGGTTGTGGTGTGTTTTCTTTATATGTGTTTGTATGTATGAGTGGTCTAGAGGTGTAGTATGGTAAGTTCTACTCTGTTCATGCTGCTCAATTAATGTTGTTTTCTATGTTGGATTGTGTGTATCAGTAAGTATCAGCGTCTTAATTCTTGTGTTCTGTGTGTGTGTCACTGGGGTTTATCATGTCTCCTTATCTGTCTAGTGTTGTCGTGTCTTTCTGTTCCTGGTTGATATCTCCTACCATCCTGGACAGTTCCCTATGTTTGTATCTGGGTCTTGGCTGTGTCTTCGCCTTATCTAGAATTTTGTCATTGAGTCACCCTTTTCGGGTTCTCGTCCAGTGTCGCATATGTGTGTGTGTTTGATCCCGTTCGGGTCAAAGGGAGGGGGGGTACTTTCTCTTGACTGGGTCCCGCCGGTCACCCTTCCGGCTCGTCCAGGCCCCCCATCACTCCTTCATTCCCCATAGTCCGCAGTGTCCCACCCTGTGTCTTGGTCTACACTATGTAAAGTAGCCACAGCCTCCATAGCTCCGTGTGCTTGTCTCCTTGTCCCATCAGGTTCGCTATTCTTTTTTCTGCTGTCCGTATGTCCTCCACTTTGCGTTTCCATTGTTCCTTCGTGGGTTTGTCCGTTTTTTTTCCAGTACAGTGGAATCAGAGATTTGGCTGCATCCAGCATGTGTCTCATGATCGATTTTTTGTAGGTGGATATGGGTTGTTCAGTGTGGTGTATGAGGGCAGCCTCCATTGTCAGTCGTGGGGGGTCGTCTCATACGATTCTTATTTCTTGTTCGATGCTCTCCCAGTATGGCTTGATTTTCCTACAGTCCCACCAGATGTGTCTCAGTGATCCCGTTTCCTCGTTGCATGAAAGTCCAGTTTTTTATTAAGCCATACTAATTAGTTTAAGACCCCTCCTACAACCCATTTAAAACAACTGAGATAGAGTGAGAACAACAGGGGATAAAGCAGATGTGTGGTGTGGCGTGTACTCTACAGCAGGAAATAATATTCCCTGCAGAGTGTGAGTCATGTATTGATATCATACATGCACACAAAATTAAAATAATGTGTGCATTCGTCATTTGTAATTGTCAGAGATAGTCTTGTGTACAGTACATACATATTTTAAATTATTATTGGCAATTATATAGCACCAACTTACTAGCAGCCCATTACAATTTTAAATAGGAGATTTTACAGCAAATGGGACAAACGATTGCAAATGTTGATGGTTACAAGATATTAATGAGAATCGAGCTTACAGGTAACAGATATACTAGGACAGAAAAAGATATATTTGCTACTGTGGAGAAAGTAAGTCAATGAGTCTCCAGTCATAATAATGTTAATATTACCAAAATGGCACACTGAATGATTACAGGGGTAAAAGACCATCCATGGGTTTGGACTGTCACCTGTTCCATTGTTCCTTCCCAATTTTACGATCACGTTAGATTAATGTATCTTCTTACATTATGGGTCCAACTATTTTTATATGGACCCCGTCAAGCACTGTTGCTTACAATTTTATTAAGACACGGAGGCTCCTTTTATGCTGCACTCTTTCTTTATTTCCCTCAGCAGCAAAGAAAAATAACATTAAATCAATATAAAAAGAAAGCAGTAAATAACATGAGAGGTATATCTTCCTAGCAACAGGAACAGCCAATCAGCATCCTCTTTATAGCATAATAGGCGGTGTCCAGTATACTACTTCCTCTTTCTTTGCTGCTCCCTCAGTTAAGTGACACTGGGTCCCACGGTTCTTAACTGTGGGATCTTTTACTTTTATTCATATCATTACTGTGGTAATATAGTTATTACATTTTAATTATAATATTTATAAATATATTTAGTTACTTCATTTTAACTTAATTTGATTTATTTACTTAATTTCTTCAGTTATATGCTTTATTGTATATCCTTTGCTCATTGCTTTCCCCTCTAACCTCCCTGGCCCTAAGATTATCATCAAATGGGGCTCAGGGACGTCTTTGAGGATCTTTATACCATGCACAGTACGGATCGACCGACTAATCGGTTGGACGATATTATCAGCTGATATTCTGAAATTTTAGCAATATCGGTATCTGCCTATAAAAATACAGATATTGCCTATAATGCAGACCTGGGCCGCCATCAGGGCATGACAACCAAGACGGTTGTCATGGGCCCGGCAGTCCTGGGGGGCCCGCAGGACACTCTTACTTACCTTCCCAGCAGCTCCCTTCAGCTCCCCGTCAGAGCGTTACCATGGCAAAGATCCGTCACGGGTTACCATGGCAAAGCTCCGTGCGGAACGCAGGCCGCGAGCGTTATTAAGGGTAGCTGCTGGGAAGGGAAGTAAGAGTGTTGCTGGGCCCCCTCTGCAGAGTACATGCCACTAGACCACCAGGGAATGCCATACCCCCCTCCCTGGCCAGGTAAGAAGCAGGGAGGGGGGACTAAAACAAAATGTTAAAAAATTTAATTTAACTAACACACACACACACACACACACACACACACATTACATCCACTACACAAACACACATTCTTGAAAACATAAAAAATTCTGACTGGTATGTATATTTTGTGCATTTACCTAAATAAAAAAAATAAAAAAAGATTTGCAAAAAATACATAAACATGTTCAGTTAACAGTAGATTTGTGTAGAAATAGTTTATTTTCTCAAAACGGTAAAGGTACGAAAAGGGCTGCAGAGGTTCGACACACCAGAATCTTCCTATACACGAAAAATGACAGCCTCTCACTGTATGATATACAAATATCTGGATAGATAACAATAAGTGAGACTTCCTTTTTATGATAGCTTTAGCTTAGGGGTAGGGAAATATCAGCTAAATATATCATACACCCATAGCCACTACAATAATCTACAGCTCTTATGGTCCTTGTAATGTCTTTTTAAAGTGAACCTGTCATGCCAAGTTCAGCATAAAGGCATGGTCATGTTTGTTTGTTTTTACACTCTGTATTCCTTCGCTTAGGATTCTTGTGTCTTAAAGATTTTACTCCCCCACTGTCACTTGTCTTTATATTTATTATCTTTTCTTCCTTGTGACAGATTCCGAACCGTAAGCGCCTCTACTTTATTCTCCTCTGACTATGATGTCCCTGAGATTCTTTGGACAGATGGATTCTGGGTAAATTAGCTTAGTAGTTGAAATTTAACTTTACTTACACTGGTAAAGGCTCCAGTGTAGCCATTTCATCTCATTGAATTGGTTGTAGTGCTTAGAGTCATCTAAGCATTTCATTCAGTGTTAAAGGGACACTATAGTCACCTAGACCACTTCAGCTCAATGAAGTGGTCTGGGTGCCAGGTCCCTCAGGTTTTAACCCTTCAGAGAAACTGCTATGTTTACATTTGGGGTTAAGCCAGTCAGGAAGACAGCCACTAGAGGCACATCTGCGACGCTGGAGGCATATTATGCCTCAATCGCGCAGAGCGTCCATAGGAAAGCATTGAGAAATGATTTCCTATGGACACTAGGAATGCGCGCGGCACTTGCCGCACATGCGTATTCGGCTCTGCTGACGTCAGCAGACGGAGCTGACGGCGGGGCAGGAGAGGTCACCAGCGTCGAGGGAGCCCGGCGCTGGATTAAGGTAAGTGGCTGAATGGGTTTTAACCCCTTCAGCGCCACGGGAGGGGGACCCTGAGGGTGGGGGCACCGTTAGGGCACTATAGTGTCGGGAAAACCACTTTGTTTTCCTTACACTATGGTGATCCTTTAAACTAGTTTTCAAGCAGTTTAACACTAAATAAGGGTCCCTGGCCGCCCATACTGGAGGTTCGACTAAGGCTGAGCTTACATGCTTCCTTGGAGCCATACTGATTCATACCTTAATGTGATAGGCTGAATGAGGTCTACTGACACTCTCAACCAATCATAGCCACCCATTGCTGCTCAGGCTAATGATTCCTTACTAGCCCAAGCCTCACAGAGGGGATAGGACCTGGAGACTCCTATTGGCTTGGAAATAGTTTTGCGATGGAAAGAAGAAGCAGATTGCTATAGAGGGTTGATTGACAGATAGAGGAGGAGGGACCATACTTATAAATAGAAATATTTCAAAACCTATACATTTTATTACACGATGTGTAGGTGATTTTCTGTGCTTTTTCAATAGTCACTGTACGTGACAGGTGCATCTTAAATACAGTCTGTTAACTGTAAAATATATACATACAGCAAATGCAATACAATCAGTAAACACTACAATTGCAAAACAAAAACGTCTTAATACAAAGGCGGTTTCCTTTATGATGCATACATAATATTTGTTAAGAAACTATATAAAGGTCTTCCGTTATACCCAAACTGTCCGTGCTATCTTAACGTTGATGCATAAAATATTACAGGCAACATCCACAGTTTATTAAGCTTAAATATTTTAGTGCACGTGGTTCTAAAAACATCTTAATATTCAAGGACTCTTTGCCCAAACTTTCACTAGACTTTTAAATTAGCTATTTAAAACAGGAAGAACTACTTAATCTGTTTATCTTTATAAACAGCCTGTAGCAGTTTTGCACTGTCTTCAGTTTCAAAATAGCACTCGTTTCCACACGCTCTATGCCCTCTGCCCCAGTTTATAAATAATTTAGATGAGTGGTATAGGTAAACCCTACCCAGAAATAAAAAAGCACATTGTGGTTTGGAGTCGGTGGGTGATGCCCAAATCTCATAGGATGACATACTTTCAAACCTACTATAATACCCCATTCACAGCACAAGATTAACAAATTCTAGATTAAGCATACAGCAATTTCATCATCCACGGCATTCCTAAACACTATCCACTCCATTTGAAAGTAACTTCACTCTATCAAAAGTCACATCCCTTATTCTTGTATAGAAATTAGTTTTTAAACTTACACTTCCTTACCTGTCCTTCATCATCTCAAAGTATACTCCTACTCATCCTCTCCACAAACTTTATTTCAGTCTCTTCCTAACAGTTCTCCTTCTGGTTCCATTTATTAGACCATCTACTGCTTAAAAACAGCACATACACTAGCTCATGTATATACACACACACACACACACACATCCACAACTCAATTCATATAGCTATCTCATGCCACTAGAATAACAGAATACTATGCTGTATATTATCTATATATCTACCACCCCACTTATTGTTGCTAAAAAAAAAATCAATGAGACAGCCACTAGAGGCTGGATTAACCCTAATATAAACATAGCAGTTTCTCTGAAACTGCTATGTTTATAGAAAAAAGGGTTAAACCTAGCTGGACCAGGCACCCAGACCACTTAATTAAGCTGAAGTGGTCTGGGTGCCTATAGTGGTCCTTTAATAAATCAAAATGAGAACCTAAAATTCTTAAAAGAATCTGTATGTATACATATTAACCAAACAGTTGTTTTCTCATTAACCAACGTAGTTCTCATTTATATTTATTTTTTATTGTGTGTTATAAGGTGTTGAGGATTTATTGATTTGAGATTGCGGCATTTGTCACCATAAAGTGTAGCACCTTTTGGATGTGTTTTTGTTTAGTATACATATACTGTATATGAAAAGTTATACATGACAGTGTATAAAAGGTTTGACGAGATTAAAAAGAAATCAATCACCAACAAAAAATTTTTTAAAATAAAAATGTTTCTACATATTTTTGGTAACTGAAATATTTATTATGTAGCAAACAAAAAATAAGGCTGGCGCTCTATACTTAAATATATGGTCATTCTTAAATATAGTAAGATAATCGTTGAAGGGAGCAGCATTGTTGCATTTAGGGAATTATACATCATACATGGGATTATTTACTAAACTTGCACTTGTGGATATTTGAAAAACAAATTGAATATGTTAGGCCAAAACATACACGCTGGAAAAATAGCTGGGTTGTAATTTGACTTTTTTAACCCAAAAGTTGCACATCGCTTGGATCACTTCTCCACAACTCCCAGTTTATAAAGCAAATCATTTTGGGGTTTTATTCAGTATGTTGGGAATTGTAGATACCTACAGAAAAAAAATAAAAGTAACTTTCACAAAATAAAGAAACAATCCAGTTTGTTTTGGTATCAAATTTGCAAAGACCTAGTGAATAAACACTGATAAATGGTTGTGTAGTTTTAAGAGAAACAAAGATACAACAATCACCACTACTCAACAGTGGGAAGCCCTGGGGCGAACTGGACAAGTCCAACAGGTTGTTTTGGAAATGTAAAATGGTCAGCTAAACTAAGCAATGCTATGGAAATCCAATCATACTCGCAGGACTTGCTGAAACGAAAGCTTACCGAAACAGCCTGCCCACAGATAGAGAACACTGTATCCCTGCTTTGCATAAAAAAAGCCAAACACTTACATGAAGTATTCATTTATTTTCTAACTATGATGTGGTTTATGCATTTTGAAGAAAGGGAATTACAGTAACTACATTTGTATGAATATAAAATTAACCCATTTATAATCTGCAACTCAAAAGCTTTGGATCTTGAAAAAGCAAATTCAGTTTAAGGTATCCATCATAACCCCCTCTTAAACTTCATCAGAATAAGTTTTTAACCTTTTCCTGGCCTACATCGCAATCTGCATCGCAATCTGCCCTCGACTTCTCCCTGCCTCCATCGCAATCTGTCCTCGACCTCTCCCACCCTACAGCGCAATCTGCCCTGGACCTCTCCCGGCCCACAACGCAATCTGCCCTCGACCTCTCCCGACATACATCGCAATCAGCCATCAAGCTCTCCCGGCCCACAACGCAATCTGCCCTCGACCCGCCTCCATCACAATCTGCCCTCGACATCTCCCTGCCTCTATCTCTTGATGTCTGAATGAATTTAGTATTTAGTATTTTTTTTTTTATTGCTTTAGTGTGTACAGGCACTGTACTCAGTCATAAATCGAATTGGTCGGTAAGAGAAGACGCACTACAGAGCATGCCCACCAGTGCATCTTCCTGTATCCTATAGGAGTCAATTCAAAGTGCTAACCCATACCTATAAAGCACTGACCAATTCTAGCCCCTCTTATATCTCTTCACAGATCCGTAGGTATGCCCCTTCTCTGTCTCTCCGCTCTGCCCGTGACCTTCTCCTGTCCGTTGCTCGCAGGACTTCTCGCGGGCGGTTTCCTTCTTATATAATAGCCTGCCTACCGCCATCAGACTCTCCCCTAGTCTTCAATCGTTTAAGAAATTAAAAGAACGGGGGGCGGGGCCGGGCGGCCATGCCAGCAGGCTGCATATCACACAGGCTCCCGAGCAAACAGAGGAAACTATGGAATATACCCACCTTACTCGGCTTATACAGACCCGGGGGTCCGTGGCACGAAGCTCTGGAGTGTCCCGGTGTAGCTGGGGCGCCCGCTGCAGGGTGGCTCTAGGTCCTGGTGAGAGACTCCGGGGCTCGGAGATTGAGGCCTACCCGGGAGGGGAGAGGGGCAGACGGCCGCTGCCTCGCTCTCCACCCCGACTACGGCGAACTACCATCTGGCTGGTGCCTTCCTGGTCCCGTTTCCCCCCCCCATGGGCCGGGGGGGTCATCCCGGTCCACACCAGGCAGGCTACCGCCTAAGCATCTCACCTGGATGGCCCAAAGCTTGAGAAGTGAGTCTCCCACGCGGTCTCATCAAAATGGCCGACGGCTGCACAGCAACTGCACCGACCGAGACGGTGATCCCTCTGTGCTCAAAACCGGAGCTGTTAACACGGGTGTCCCTGAGGGCTCTCAAGCCCCCACGAAACGACTCTGGAACAAGTAAGCTGACAGGAGAGGACCATAACAGCCAGCACTTCCTCCACATGCCCATGCCAAAGCTGCAACCCCAGAAGCGCACTGTGCAAGCAAGCCTCACTAACGACCAGGGCTGGAAGAACAAACAGGACAATCAACTTAACCCACAGACCGCATGGTGCTACAGCCCTCGACAGCACATCAAGGCTAACAAGGCAAGGCAAACATACCCAGCAACTGGGATGACACGGCGGGACATTAGGACCCAGTGGAACTCATGGGGTTATCTCAAGGGACTCTCCCCACGCCTGGACATGGAACACGACCCCAGTGCCTCCTGCTTTGCGCTGGGATGGAGCTGGCAGAGACTCCAGCCATCCACAATTTACTCCAAACCAGCCTGCACTGAGGCGACACAGAAACCAGCATACCCGAGCAGCCATCACCAAACCCTCTACAATGGCGGTCACCAGCCCCCGGATGAACAAGAGAGGCAAGCGCAACAAGCTACAGCGAAAACGCAAGAGATCACAGCAAGCAACCCAATGCACAACATGAAGGGACTGTGCCCTAAAGCCTGCTCTGATTGACACTCACTCCCAGCTACTCAGAAACAGCAGAGCAGGTATCGGGTAGTGGCGGGACTCCCCCTGTCTGTGAGGTCTCGGGACCACCATGATGGCAGCCCTCTGGGCCGATTAACCAGGGTGAAATTCCACTAATGTGACCTAGACATAGCCTGAATAATTTCAAAGCACTAACCTGGTAATATAGCTAGTGATGTGTTCCAGCTTCATTATGTTTTTCCCTGTCTCTGCCTTAATTTTGCAGGCTTATAATACATTCGCAACTCAAGCTATGTAAGCATGGTCCTTTAAGCAGAGTGTGGCAAATAATAAGCGTGGTAAAAACTATAAAGCTGCAATGTATAATTGGATATAGGCACTTACCTGCCATTAGCATGGAATTAGCAAGCATACAGCACAACGTGTTTCAACCCTGCAGCACATAGTCTATGTGCAGGTACCTGAAAGTGTTGTAAACTCTTAATTCTACACTTAGCTTATATGCACATACTAGTTCTTGACACAGCATAATAATATCATAACTAGATAGTAAAGCGCTGTGGCATTGTGTTATGAGAATACCTAAGCACCCTAAGCGACGAAAACATATATTGTTTAGCACCTATCCTATCCCTATATAAAAAATGTGCTAGATTTAACATGTACCTCTATGTTCAACTGTTAATTATCAGCTGGAGGATTGCCTTTGGGGTACCTCACATGCATCTGTTCAAAGCTTATGCACTACAAAAATAAAGAAAAAAAAAAAGAAATTAAAAGAACATAGACAAGCGAAGCAGAGCATGGAATCTCTCAAATCTATGTCCCTGAAATGTATACATTTTTCTGGCTATCTCTGTATTCCTTTCTAAACCTCTTCCATCATGTTATGTTCCCATTCCATTTTTTATGGTTTACAAATGTATTGTTTCCAAAGTATTAGAGAAAAAAGAAAAGTTCAAAAGAATGCCTTTCTGTCAGACTGTCAGTTTGTCAGGTTTTCCATGACAGGTGAGTGTCGGGGGGAAAACCAAAAAGAAATGGCAGCTTATTTTCTTCCAGTTTTATGCACTAGAAAATTGGGCATCTGCACAGAGCTGGTGCAAGAGTGAATGCAGCAATTGTATATATAATTCCCACAGAGTTCCACTGTAATATTTCAGCAATAACAGCAACGCACTGTGAGCCAGGTGATTTTTGCAACAGTATAATAAAACACGTAATTTAACAAATGTGTGTACTATGTTGTAGGGTGTTTGTATATGTTTTCACAACTAAATACAAAAATTCTAGTTTGTTTTTCAACCTTGTGCTTTTTGTTTTCAACAAGGGCATGAGGTTATTAAAAGAACACTAAAGCATTAGAAATACAGACCTGTATTCCTAATACTATAATGTCATGGCCCCTTTTAAATTAGGTCCCCCACGTGTCCCAAAAAATAATAGAATTAGGCTTTTTACTCACCTTTTGGCTGCTGGCCTCCTCCAATGTGGTCCCATCCAATGTTCCTCATAGAACAGCATTGGGGACCTGATGCGCATGCTTTGCAAGCACATCCAAGCTTCCCCCTAATAAAACAATAAATCAGCGGTTTCCTATGTGGGCTTCCGTGTCACATGACCAAATGTTTCTCTGTCATTACCCCAAATGTTCCACCAATGGCTGTCAGTGTAACAGTCACTGGATGTGTGTTTAACCCTGCGAGGTAAACATAGCTGTTTCTGCACAATTTGCATGAGGACACCCATTGTCTTGAAAATCTCCATAGGAGAGCATTCATTCAATTTGGTCTCCTCCTCTCGCAACATCACGGCGATGGGGGAACCTAATGCGCATGCATGGCAAGCTCCACATGCACATTAGGTTGCCTCATTGCCGTGATGTCGTGGGAGGAGGAGACCAAATAAGGCAATTGAAAGAATAGGGTTTTTAATCTTTCATTATGGGGGGAGAGGAAGGTTGTGGAACAGAGGCAGAGGGACACTATTGTGTTTGCATTCCTACGACTATTATGTTCCTCTAAGGTTAAAAGTGAACAGTCGCCTTCCCAAAATGCATACGTTGAAGCAGAAATTCATCTTGACTTAATTTGTATGATGATTTTTTTCAGATTAATTTATTACATCTATTTAAGGTTGTAAACATGTCCTGACATCTTCACAAGGAGGGGTAATAAGAACGTTCAACAGGTCACTGAATATTGATGCAGCATTTTTAAGACGAGGAACAAAGCAGAGATTCTGCAAATGTTTAGTTCCCAAATTGAGTACAATAAATCCAAACTACTACTACTACTACTGATAAACAAAGATGGTGAGAGCTAAAGGTCAAATTTATGAGTCTACCACAAAATGGATGTCCAAATGAAATATATATGTACACAAATACACATATGCAAAAACTGAAATAAGCCAAAAAAGTTTTAAAGGCATATTTGGGGCACTGTAAGCATTCCCACTCATTAAAGAAATGTCTCTCTGTTCAATGTTAAACTGTTTTTGAATGATTTAACCATAAATGATATCAGCCCAGCTACTCTGTGATGCTCGGGTTTAATGAGGAAGCAATTAAATATTAATTTATGGATATTAGTTGAGAGAGTGTCAGCTGACCATCTTAGCCTATCATAAGCTGCCCATTGCTGGTATAAATTACGATGACTAAGGAAGAGAGTAATCTCTGATTTAAGGGGACACTGTAGGCACCCAGACTACTTCAGGTAATTGTCTGGGTGCATTGTCCCTATTGCACTTAGTGCTGAAATGTAAAACATTGCAGTTCCAGAGAACTGCAATGTTTACATTGCAGCTCTAGCCTGCCCTCAGTGGCTGTCTACCAAACAGCCACTGGGGGCACTTCCAGAATCCAAACATACTTTTGGTCCGTTATCTGCCGCTGGACATCCTCACACTCTGCATGAGGACCTCCAGCGTCAGTTTTTACCCATAGGAAAGCAATGAATAATGCTTTCCTATGGAATAATGCTTTCCTATGGGTAGGTCTAATGTGCGCAGCCATTGCCGCGCATGTACATGATGTCCCCCCCGCTGGCTGACATCAGCGGGGCATGACCCCATGCCGAGGGACATCGTTGCTGGATTCAGGTAAGTGCTACTTAGGAGTTACATCACTTTGTTTATGCAGCCCTACTCACACCTCACTGTATGTGAATTGCACAGCCCTCCTAACCACTTCCTGTAAGGAGACATTTAATGTTTACACTTCCCTTTTTGCACAGTCTGTTTAACCCCTTAAGGACACATGACATGTGTGACATGTCATGATTCCCTTTTATTCCAGAAGTTTGGTCCTTAAGGGGTTAAAGGACCACTATGCACACCCAAAGCAATTTACAGGTGAGGGATATCCTAGTTTAACCCCAATTTATATAAGTGTCAATTTCTATGAAAAATCTGCACTTTTACGAATAAACTATGGAACACGCCCTGGCTATCAATCAAAACAGCCATGGAGATTTGGTGTCTCCTTCCCTTAGCTCCTCTGTGCACTAGCTGATGCTCTTCTTGAGCGTGCCTGCCTCCTCCCTTGCCTCCGGCACGCACACATGCAACAGAGCACTGCACGAGGGCGCCAATTTAGAGGCTCTCAATGAGAAGCCTCTAATTGGTTACTACCCTGTGAAGCGACTGAAAGTCCCTTCCGGGAATAAAGGGGAATGCTTGCCAAGGCTGCAGTTCATAAGATCTGCAGCCTTTGCAAGCCCTTTTAAGATATACCCCCAATGAATACATGCATGAAAAATTAATGCATGGATTCATGGGGATATATCGACTGAATAGTGATGTTTTTTCCACATTTTTGCAGTGGAGTGTTCTTTTAAATGTAGAATTTCTTATCTTCTGTAGATCCTGCAGGAGCCTCTTGTATGTGGTTAAAGTTCAATTTACAGAGCAGGAGATATACACCTCTAAAGTAAGTTAAATTCTGATTGAAAAGGAAACCATTATTTTCATGTGGATTGTGTCAGTCACTGTAAGGGGAGGTGTGGCTAGGGCTGAATAAATCACACAATTGATTTAACCCCTAAATGGCAGAGAATTGAACAATGTGACAGCAAGGGCATGATCAAAACACCCAAACTGCTTCATTAAGCTAAAGCTGTTTTAATACCTAATTATTTAGTATCCCTTTAACCATACATCCGGTATGGACTACTAGGCTATGGATGACAAGGCCCGCTCATTCTGTGTTACACGGTTCAAAACTGAATACTGTATAGGATCAGCACCAGAAGACTCCAGGCACTACAACTACATCAGTGAGATGAATGGTTACAGTATCTAGAGTGGTCCTTTAACCTCGTTTGAGCAGAGTTGACATTACTTTGACAATTACTTGCTGTTATATATGCTTATTCTATAAATGTAAAGGTCGGTGGAATATGTTGGTGCTATGAAAATACTAATTATATATAATTAAAGAGGTGTGATTTAAAAAAAAAAAAAAATAGTAGATGTGCTTGCCGATAATATCATGAACACATCTCACATTCACTGGTTGCATTTCTGTACTTATATATTTGAGTCCTGCTTTTTTGGGGGATCATCCTGGGAACCCACATTTACAGATTCAGCTGAACTTTTACTATTGACTATTATTGTCTTTTAAATTAATTCAAAGTGAATGTCTTATTCTGGTCCAAAACAGATGAATTGTGAATTAATCCAAGACAGCTATCCTGCCCTTTTTAGCTCTTCAGGCTTACAAATATAAATTCACATTTAGCTTGCTAATACGCAATAAATAAATATATTTTTAAAAATCACCTAATCAGTTGTAGACACAGATTGACTATTTTGTCATGGATTTTGCCATTTGGCTGACAGTCCATTATATTTTAAAGTTTAAAGATTGGTCACTTCTTAACTCAAACTGAAACAAATTGAAATCCAAATTTTTTTTATATATATATATATATATATATATATATATATATATATATATATATATATATATATATTTATTAAATGTGTGTGGCAGACACCCTCAGAAGCTCTACCTGACAGCACCTTCAAACACCATGCCTTAAAAGGAGGTTAAACAATTACTATGCTTAGCTCTTAATGTACATACTAATTATGCAGATATGCGAGTGACTCACAACTACACCTTTAAATTATACAAATCTCCCAACCATACACCTGTTACTCAACTGATCATCATACAATGACCTGTTAAACGTGTTAGCAATCCAGCCCTATGCAATTAAATGCTTCTTCCGCTTGTTTAATACAGACTCTGATGCACCATGCAGATAAATACACAGGAAGCCACTCCTCCACACCAAGAAAGCCTCCTGATACATGGCCTTACAGCCATAAAGGGGTTAAAACCGGACAGCCTAGGCTGACCAAAGCTTATACTAATCTCATAGAATGGAGTAAAGCACATCTGGTAGTGTAAAACCACAAATTGTGCAATACTGCAAGTCCAGATGTTTAAACTTACAAGGACTTTTGTTTAAATAAATAAATTTAAAAAAGTGCTTCCGCTAGTGTAGCTAGTCAACTTTTTTTTGTTATGTCTGATAAATTAGACCGATTTCTAGGTTTAGATAAAGTAGGGTGGCACAATCCCAGTTATTAAAAATAGTATATGAGCTATGTTATGAAAAATAAGCACACAGTTATTAACTAGTGACCACACATTATAACCTAAAATATTACTGTAAACAAGCCTCAATGGAAGGAATTTACACATAACAAAATTGCATTCTAGTCTAGAATGTTAAAACAAGTACTGATCTATTATTCAAAACACATAAAAACGTATAAAGGGGGCAGACAGAAGACTTCACAGGTCAGATTTGTATCAAAATGTTAAATCATTTTAAACTTTGCAATTTTCAAATTAATTACCTTCTGCACACAGGAATTGGCAATCTTATCAAATATTAACTGAACAGATTACCAGTGCCACTATTACAATACAGGAGGGTGGGCTAAGGTAATTATTTAACCCTTGTTGCGCTAGGAAGGCTAGAAAGTAATGCAATCAAATGCAGACAGCCCCCCACCCCTCAGTGTTGAAAGGGTTAAATGAACTCTTCACTGGGACTTTAACATGCAGCCTAGTGACACATGCCCTGACCCCACTCTTCTAATCTGCCATGGGGAGGAGTGAGAGGAGAAATGCAGTGTGTAAAGTACATCCATGACATTGATAGGCCCTGCTCTGCACACAGTCTGGTCAGTGGGGTGATCTACCTGCCCCTAGTGTCCCTGTGAAGGCTGGGGGCAGCAGACCTGGCTGCCAATGTGTTGGGTGACCTGCATGGCATGGGGGAGAGGGTCAGCCAGCTCTTACCTGCATACCAGGCAGGCCGGTCTGCATCGGGGAGTGAATCATGCTGATATGCCCGGGTCTTGCAGCTCAGCCCCGGCCCCGAGATCCACTGCAAGCCGAGAGCCCCTCCAGCACAGCCCGGGCTCCCCTGTGTGTATGAGTCCGGGCCCAGGAGGAGGAAAGATGCTGAGTCCTGGCAGAGTTTGGCAGCAGGAAGAGATTTGCTGTTCTATTCTCACTATGATGATGATTTCCGGCTGCAGCGGAATTCTTACAAATAAAAAAAAAAATCTGAAAAAAGTAAAAATATTCCAAGGCAGCAAAACACATAAGGTAGAAAATAGCTTTCTTTAGTGTTTCCTCGTTTACAGAAAACTAGACCAGGAAACAAGAAAAAAAAAAAAAACAATAACCACCCACCTACCCTCCTCCTTCTGTGTCTCTTCCCCCTACACTGCTCCTCCTGCTTAGTGAGTACAGGGAAATCATGTCAGTGCTGTGATCACAATAATCTGTCAGTCGCAGGCTTATTTACTAAAAGTGTGAGTGGTTGGGAATTCAAAGTGATTTTCAAATGTTGGGCCAAAATAATGAATAGACAAACTGGAAACATAGCTGACTTGGGGGTTTGTTAACTAAACTCTGAATTGTAGCACATGTACATCTGAACAACAACAGATAGGTTAAACCTGTCATCCTGGAAAATTATTTCCAGATCAGTTGATTGTTCCATTTGGATTTTAATTTACTACGATTGAGAATTTAGTCAATAAACAGATTTATTTATATTTTGGATTAGTCCATTATTTTATTATTTATAAGGCACCAACAAATTCCATAGCGCTGTACAATGGCTATAATTTCAAATTCACTTGGAATTCTCTCTGAAAAGTGTGACTTTTGGTGCTTCAGTATCAATTTCGGGATTCTCTCCCACTTTAGTTCCATGGGGACACCAGGGAACGATTAACAGGTAGCCCAGAACAAGCATCTCATTAGAAACACTGACTAAAACCATGCAGGCAGTTCACCACGCTATACAGCTAACTTTTTATAAGACAAGATGGCAATGGACTAACTATCCATTTATCACTGCAAATAGTGGGAGATATCTCTCTAATCTCATTCTCAGGCTAGCAATGCCTGTTACCATTGGTTGCAATTATACAGACTTGAATTATAAAGTGCCAAGGGCATAGTAGTAGATTATTTTAGCTCTGCATGCAAGTCAATGATTAACAAAAACAAATCTCCTAACTTTTTGCCACCAATGATAAAGGTGACAAAGGTTCAAATTCATCTAACATTCCTTGCATAGTTCTGTTGCTAGTAAAATGACATAAACATAATTATATGATGGTGTTTATACCAGTAAAGCTACGTTTACCTTTTAAACACACCCTGGAGTTTATGTATGTTATCGCTATCTAACTCAATTGTAATCATTTTATAAATCTCAGAAAGAAGACAATGAGTTGACACTGTTCAGAGTCAAAACTGCTTTGAACGGAACCGCAAAACACACAGACCACTTTCATGTCGCTAATGCCACCAAAGTTAGAAAACATTATCAAACTAAAGGGGAACTGTCATTTCTCACAATTTTTAATATGATGTTAGCAAACATGTTTGTGAGGTCTAGAAAATAAAACTAGAAATTCAAAGTGAATTTCAAATTTAAGGCCAAAGTTACTGAAGTGGATGCTGGCTTAGTGATTCTTTTCAGTTTGTCTGATTTCACCTAGAATTTGAAATGTACTTTTAATTCACCTAAAATTCTTAGTTTAGTGAATAAACGTGTACATTTAGAAACACATACTTCTGTATTTACCTTTTATCTTTGATATGTGTTCCTCTATCTATGCTCCCTGCCATATATTGTCATAAATGTTACCCTCTTTTCCATAGTTAGTGGAATAAGAGAAACCGAAACAATGGTTTTGTTCTACTTCTTATTTGCATTGTGTGCTCTGCTCTGTGCCTTGATTTTTACTACATGAATTTTTGATATGTTGGAATGCCATTTGGCCTGAATTTGTGGGAGGAGTTACGATCCTATATAAACCCTACCCCCCTACTTACCTTTGTCGTCCAAACTGTTTGTCCCCATAGTTATCTGCACTTCCAGTTCGTCATTCCCGCCAAGTCCTGTCTCAAGCAGTCTACCGCAAGCAGTCCGTCACCAGCAACTCCTGCCTCTGTCTTCCGTGCCCGTCCACCGGCTTATACCCGACCTCGCGGCTCGCTACCTGGCTTCCGGTCACGAGACCAGCACGTCCACTTAAGCATAAACGTGGGAAATGGCGTTCGGCTATTTCCCACGTTCGGGCCTAAAAACGCGGGGATAGGCTTCCTTTATTACTTACCCATTCATGCTCTTACTCTGTTCGTGTACTTCTCCGTTCGTGTGGCTAACAGCCGACTGCAGAGTACATACTCCTGTCACTTACATTTTCGTATAAACTAACTACCGACCGCACTAAACAAGCTTACGTTCGACTATTTTCATCCGTTCGTTTGGTCGTTCAGCCGAACACATATACATTGACTTTCGTTTAAAATTTGTTTGTATGCTCCATTTAACCGAACACAGGAGTTCTTTCTCATTACAGTTCTCCTGTTCATTCGTTTACCGAAAGCAAGAGGCTAGAATGTTTAAATTCCAAAATCTACTGTAATTGTACAAAGTTTGCTTTCACGTAACTAAGCACTCGCATTATTTATCCTATTTGGATTTATGTGTATTTATTACATGGCTCTTAAAGTCACCACTGGTTAAATAATATGTTTCTAATTTTCCCGCCCATGGTCACATAATTATGGGACTCCTATCTTTTACAGGGTAAATTTTCTTAAAGCACAGTTTGACCACTTTTCTCTTATCAGGTACGTTTAAAAAAATACACCTCCAGGCATTATCATACCCTGCCGGGTCTTAGGCTATTGTACTTTCCCTTATGTATTAGTCTTCTACGCAACTAAGGTCTCTCCGCTCATAGGTTAAGCCTTACGGCCCTTTTTCACCAGGCTCTTTACAGACCATTAGCATGATTTAAAACCTCCATTCCTTAAAAGTCCTTATATACTGGTTCCTTACACTTAGACTGCATATGTTTTTTGGGTTTCACTACTTATATTTTTCTTCCAACAAAGCTCCAAGAAGATGTACTCAGTATCCCGCATTTCTGTAACAGGTAAGAAGGTTTACCATTTTTGCTCTCCCTTGAGGCCTCATTCAGCCTCCACAGCTTCATACAGTCCCCCACCTCCCAAAGTGGGTTCTAAACTTCACACACACAGCACCCCCACACACACACACAGCATCCCACCACACACACACAGCACCCCCCCACACACACAGCATCCCCCCACACACACACACACAGCACCCTCCCACACACACACAGCATCCCCCACACACACAGCACCCCCTTCCCACGCACACACACACAAACAGCACCCTCTCCCACACACACACCCCCCATACAGCACCCCTCCCACACACACAGCACCATACACACAGACACACAGCACCCCCTCCCACCTACACAAAGCACCCCCTCCCACCCACACACAGCACCCCCCCATGCACACACACACAGCACCCCTTCAGAGACACACAGCACTCCACACACACAGCCCCCCTCAGAGACACATGCAGCACTCCACACACACTCTCCGCACCTGTACACACAAACACATACACTGCATCCCTCAATGCAGTATGTGTTTGTGTGTATGTATTCAGCAGACTGTGTTTATGTATTCAACAGTCTGTGTGTACTCAGCAGTCTGTCTTGTGTACTCAGCATTCTGTCTGTGTATTCAGCAGTGTGTGTATTCAGCAGTCTTTATGCATTCAGCAGTCTCTGTGTGTGTTTTTAGCAGACTGTGTGTATGTATTCAGCAGTCTGTGCGTATGTTTGTGTGTGCGTGTATGCAGCGGACTGTGTGTATTTATTCAGCAGTCTGTGTGTGTGTCGGTGTGTATGTATTCAGCAGTCTGTGTGTGAATGTGTTCAGCAGTCTGTGTGTATGTATTTTATGTATGTATTGCATTTGCTGGAGATACTAATAAATATAAGCCTAATTTTATCTATAATTTACATTTTTATTCCTGTGAGTTGTGTGTAGGCAGGGCCCCAGTGCACTGCTTTGCCCGGGGGCCCATAATGTTGTTAAGGTGGCACTGGTGTGTGGAAGGGATGGAGGGCTGCGAGGGAGCACTGACTTACGTCAGTTCCAGTACTGCTCCCTCTGCTGATGCCGCCGGGAGACAGGAAAGTACATCAATCACGCACCGCCGCCTGATTGACATAATTTCCTGTTTCCCAGCGGCATCAGCGGAGGGAGCAGTGCTGGAACAGCACTTAAGTCAGTGCTCCCTCGCGCCCATACCCCCTCACAGCAGTGGGAAGGAATCGGATCCACCAGGTAGAGAGCCTGGGTGTACTTCAAACCCCCACCCGCACCAAAAAAAAACAAAACATTATTTGTGTGCTGGTAGGGAGAGGGGGATATGCTGGGGTAGTGAGGGGATGATGCTGTGGGGAAAGAAGGGGGATATACTGGGGGAAGGGGGATATGAGAGAAGAGGAGATGCTGCGGGGAGAGATGGGGAGATGCTTGGGGGAGAAAAAAGGACATGCTGGGGGGAGAAAAGAGGAGATGCTGAGGGAAGAAAAGAGGAGATGCTGTAAGAGGAGATAGGAGATGCTTAGGGGAGAAAAAAAGAGACATGCTGGGGAAGAGGAAAAGGAGATGCTGATAGGAGAAAGAGATATGCTGGGAGGAGAAAGAGGAGATGCTGGGAGGAGAAAGAGGAGATGCTGAGGGAGAAAAGAGGAGATGCTGGGGAGGGAGAAAAGAAGGGAGATACTGGGGAGAGAGGGGAGAAGAGTATGCTGGGGGGCAGAAATGGAAGGAGGACAAGGGAGATGCTGGGGGAGAAGGGGAGAGGAAGAGGAGAATCTGATGGAGAAGAGGAGGAGAATCTGATGGAGAAGAGGAGGAGATTCTGGGGAAGGATTGGAGAGAAAGGGGGAGAAGATGAGCGGAATCTGGGGGAGAGGAAGAGAAGAATCTGGGGGAGAGGAGGAGGAGATGCTGGGGGAGAGGAGGATATGCTGTGGATAGAGAAGGGAAGATGCTGGGGGGAGAGAAGAGGAGAATTAGTTCGGCAACTGTATGAGTTGTTTTTTTTCTAAACTTAAACCTCAGGATTCAGGTTTAATTGCTGTGTTGGCACTTTGAGGAAAAAAAGTTGGCATGTATTTCAGTTTGGGCACTAGGGCTCAAAAAGGTTCGCCATCACTATCCTACGCCATCGACAACCTACAGGCTACCTGATTCCCTGCTTTGCAGTATCAGGTATTGGTAATCTTACTCAGTACGATTACGTTTCTCCTTAAGGCCTCACTTAGCCTTCATATCATTCAAATAC